CACAATTAACTCCTGAGGGAAACTTGAGGGAGCAGCTGTTTTAAAAAGAAATGAAAACACGTATTTGTGAAGATTTATGTCTTCAGTGGGAACCAATGGGCTTGGAGCTGAGGGGGAAGTCAGAGCAGCGACACAGACTAACGCATGGTTGGTTTTTGTTGGTTTTATTTTAACGTGACGCCACAAGGCAATGTATATGTCAGTAATGGTTTATGAATCTTCTGTTGTTATTAATGTACGTAAGAGCAGATGATTTAACAAGCAGCACGATGTTTTGATTATTGATAAAAAAAAAATAAAAAAAACTGCTCAATAAAACCGGGAAAACATACAAGACATTCTAGACGGAGCTGAAGCTTTTGTTTGGGTTTGACCTTGAACTTTGATGTTGGGAGTCAGGCACATTAAGGGTATTACTCCGCTGTGGGGTCAGACAGGTCAAACAATCCATTTGACACACAGGCGGAGGGAGCGGGGGCGGGGTTAGTCCTTTAACCACACTTTTTTTTTTTTTTTCTTCATCTGGCCTCTTTGAAATGACAGAGCGGCCCCCTGCAACCCACCACTTAGAATTAGCTAAAGTTTTACAACCCTGAAAGCCGACACTCACCTCTGTGATCGGGATCAGGCAGCGGGCAGCTTCGGTCTAAACTGTCTCGTTTTGGGGACGGGGACGGGGCGGAGGGGTCGGCTCGTGACGGGGTGATTGTCAGTTCAAATTCCAGTCCTCGACAAAGACCCCAGCAAGGCGGGAGCAGTGGGCAGGACACTGTCCTCACCTGCAAAACACAGTGTCAGTTGTTAGTTCAAAACCCTGAAAGGACCGAGGCTGGATTACATACCAGGTAACTGCCCCAAACCCCCAGACCACATGACCAAAAGAAGCCCCAGGACCACTTTACGTGAACTGTTTATGATCATTTGATTAACTGCCAGTTTTAATGAACTTTCACCCCTTTAAATTGTGGCCATGCCTTGCAGAGGGAACCCATGTCAACTAATTTCAGTTTATACTGTGGCCACATGATGCATGTTCCTAATAAAGTTGTGTTTGATTAAATTCTTTATAAAGATGTGATGCACCTTTGATGGGCTACTATCAAAAGGAGACTCTGTATTGGTAACGTTGAGACTTTGAGGATCGAACCAGCGGGGCAGGGAGCTAAAGAAGCAACAGGAATGATGATGAACATCAATCAGCTGATTACGAAACAGTGGCAGGTTGTAAAGATCATGTGGTAAACTTTAATTCCATTTTTTGCTGCTTTAAAGAGTTGGAAAAGACACGGCTGTAATTTTTCCAATCGGATTCAGCCACTAAAGTGCGTGGGACATATGTTTTTATCAGTCTGCATTGTTTATGATGCTGTTTGTACTCGTGGTACTTTGTTTACCGTACAGCGCTCTCAGTTCAGGTTGTCATAAGCAGCGTGTGCAGGTTTGTGTATCAAATTCGCGCACATTGCTTTTTTACCAATGTGTTTTTGATGAAACTTTATCCGCATAAAGGGAAGATAAAAAAATAAAAAAAACCCACATGAACTATTCAGACAGCATGCAGGAGCAGGATTCGTCTGAGTTGAGGGTTGCAGGTTTGAAAATCCCAATTTTTAACCCAACCCAATGAATTTTCCTAAAACAGTCACATTTAAAGAAAGAATATTAAAATAAGCTCCATGTGTATTTATTCTGTAGTCGTACTCTGCTCATCGTGTCTTTAAAATCCCCAAATTCCCCTTAACGACGCTGAGGACATGAACTCAGTGTCCTCACTGGCAGCTACGGGCCTGTGTGGGCTTTGTCAGCTTTAACCCAGGGTAAATAAATGCAAACAAAAAAAAAAAAGGCAAACAAATAGAGATTGAATTCCATGCTGGTTGTGTCCTCCACCAGTTTCATGTCATCGGCCTTTTACTGATACGCTTCAGACCTGCTGTACACCTTGATAAGGGTTTTGTTGTTTATCTGGAGTTCCTGCTCCTGCAGTCTCTGCTGCAGGAGAGAGAGATTACAGTGCAGAGAGAGAAACCTCAGATCACACTGGCCCTGTGCATTTTTCCTCCTGAGAAAAAGAGCAAAAAGAAGCTGAATAAGAAGTTTTCTGTAGATGCCTTAAAAAAAAAACATGCTGGGAGCTTAGCTTGGGAGTCATGGCTCCTTCAGTTCATTCATAACAACTCTAACCAGCCATTTAAAGAAAACTGTAGGACATGGGCAGAAACTCCCCACTTAACATGAATAAGTGCTTTGTGCATCGGAATAAGCAGCTAAAATCTCCTTTAAACAAAGTGAAACACAGGAGGTGGGGGGCTGGTGGGGTCTGGGAGGTGTGTACTGTTTGTTCTGTGATCCAGACCCATCAGTCACCATGTTACTGCAGTCTGGAGCACATTCCACAAATCCTGCTGGGTTTTGTTCCCCATAACCTACAACAACGACACAGTTTGAGTCCTGCAGGGCTGAGGGAGTGTGGCTCCTTTAAACACAACAAAAACATGATTGTGACCTCACTCAGATAAACTTCCTGTACTCCTGTAATTATTTTATATTTTAGGATTTTTATCTAGTGCTTTTGCCGTCCAGTTCTAGTGTGTTTCATGCTACACAGACTTATTATAAATGAGTTGTAAACATGAGGTGACATTAACTTACAGTGGACTTATCTGTTGGATTATCTGACTCATTATTCATCCAATAATTTAGCTCTTTGTACAATTCATAAGCAGTAATTCTAAAGTCTGGATTTGAATATACAATAAGTTACCAAGCCCCGCCCACCTGGACCCACCATCCAAACCTTTGCAGGATTTGGTTTCTCTGAGTGTTTTTACCTGAAATCTGCTGTATTTGTATTCGATCTCTTATCAGTCAGCCAATCAGAAGACAGGCTCAGAGCCTCCTCTCCTCTGATTGGCTCACCGACCTGTTGTTACTAGAGCTCCAGAGAGAAGCCTGAGAGAGGAGATGTAAAACTACACTGAGATGGTTTTTGGTTCTTAAAACCACAAATATATCTTCTTATGGATCAACACTTCAAAATAAAACACAGAAGAAGAAGAAAATATGGAGCTTTAAATATGAGGATGACGGTGGACATTTCGAGACTGTAGCTGGAAAACATTCATAGCGTTGCACTCGGTAATTCACGTGAAATATGACAGAAATCGCTGTGTAAAGAACGAAAAAACATAGTTGACCAATCACGGCGTGAAGTGGGTTGTGATGCTTAGATTCTTGTGAGCAAAACTGACACTGAGGTCAAAGATCAGCGTTGTGGTGGTCCTGAAACCCTAGAGAGATTATGTAACAGAAGCTGTGGGAAGATTCATAGGATCTGATGATGAGCAGTAATTTGTTTCATCAACACACAATATATTGATAGCGTCTTTTCCCACAGGTCATGCTAAGCGCTAGCAGCGGAAAAAGGAAATGCACATAATTTTGAGATATGAGGAGAACACCCAAAACTTCCCTGTTAACTGTGGTGCTGCAGATGTGGTTTGGTTTCCGAGGCTGAGGACTGAGTCAGATGAGGAGGTGCGGATGGGACGCCTCTCCTCTGTAATTTGCTTCTGTGGAAATGAGCAAAGCCATTTCCTCTGGATCTGGCCGGGGGGGTATTAACGATAATGGGACACTTTGGGACCAAGTGTCTTTTAAACTGGGGCAAACTACGTGTCTTGGTGACCTGATTTTCAGTGTGTGCCGTCATTAAGAGTTCAAAATGAAATCAGAATGATGCTGATTCATATCCAGCAGCACTGAGATACACATCCGCCTCAGGTCTTTTTTTACGGTCTCCTGGTACTTCTTCTTCTTTTCTTCTTCCTTTCCTTTTTTTAGCGCAGTCACCACTTTGACACAGACTGAAATATCTCAAAAACTATTTGATGAAATTTACTACGCACATTCACGGTGCCCAGAGGATCAATCCTAGTGACGTTCCCTCTTGCTCCACCAGCAGGTTGACATTTGTTGAGTTTTCTCGACAACTACTGGATGGAGAGCAATTAAATTTTGCATGTGCATTCGTGTCCACCACAGGAGAAATGGTAACGACTCTGGCGATCCTCTGACTTTTTATCTAGTGTCAACGTACAAGTTTGCTGAAACATAAAACCAATGACATCCTCCTCAGCCTCGGCCGTACATGCCAAACTAAGATAGTTAACGTTATACCTGTTTAACAACATGTGAGTTTGTGCTTGCTAGCCTGCTAATGTGTATATTTAGATTAAAGTTGTAGGTATGTAGAATCTCATGGAGCCACTAGCGAGGCTGTAGACTCTGAGTCTTGTTTGTACTTTTTCCTCTCTTTACTCATTTTGCTCTTCAACCTTTGTGTTTTTACCTTGTCTCTTTTCTCCTGCATCTGTTATCCCTTTTTTTTTTGTTCCATTTTCTATCATTTTCCTCTAAAAAAGAAAATAAATGACTCATTTTCATACTTACCAGAAGTGCCTAAAGTTTATTTTTTCCTATGGAGACCTAGTACTAATGTTAAGTTATGTTTTGCCCCATCATCAGGCACTGCTGTCATAAATCTACTGAGACACATAGTGAACCTTTAAACTGCCTCTGAAACTCATCCTTATATCTACTATATATCTACTCAGGCTTCACTACAGTGGCTGGCCCCACCGGCTTGTTTAGGCAGTTTCATCTGAATGCCATCATCCCTACTTAGTTACACCAGTCTTACAAGTAGTTGCTAATTAGAGTCTAGAGGTCTACAGGCTCAACAAGTGAGCACCCTCTCAACAAGCGGTGTTTTGTTGACTTTAAGAAGGTTACCTGCACCCACACACTCAAAACTGACCTCTAAAGCAAACTACCCCAGCGAGTCAGCAGACCACCCATGCCATCAAAAATGGAGACGCATCCTACATCACCAAGCACATGTTCGACAGTGACCAGGCCTTACGAGGCCGATAACGTGCATGTCGCCATGAACTAATACCATCTAAAGAAGATTAACTGAACTCGTGTTGTTGTTCCAGGTCTCTGAAAAGTTCCCCGACCTGAAGAAGAGAGGGAAGGCCACTCACGCTCAGGACGTAGTGAAGGAGACGAGTTTGTCGAACAGCACCTCTAACACATGGAACCGACCTCGCTGCGGTGTGCCGGACTACCCCGCCCAGAGGGAGGTGCACTATCGAGGACGACAGCGCCAGAGACGCTACGTCCTGTACGGAGGACGTCTGGAGAAGACGGACCTCACCTACAGGTACAGATCTGCAGATCTACATACCCATGAAGAGAGATATTAGAAGTTTTATACAACTAAGTGTAATCTGCTGATGAAAACTCTGTGATTTGGTCGAGACCTTCAGAACAAGCGAGTAAGCGGACACAACTTTACAAACAGCCCTACAAATGTTGGCCATGATGTTTCATATAAGCAGCTACAAGTGCAGCTAAGTTACTGATATGTCAGCGTTGTGTTCCAGCTTGTTTCTGCTGCTCCCCAGTGGCCAAAAACATATGTCATTGCAGCTTTAAAGAAAGATAATATGATAAAAAGATGATTCTATTGCAGGCTGGATTTGCTGGATTTTAGACACACTGAATGATGAACTCAGTGTAAACTAGGAGCTCCTATATACTACTTAGAAAATTAAGTCTTGAAATTATGATTGTGAAAAAGTGGTGCTGGTTTTCTTTCATCTAAGACTTTGGCACCATTGAGAGTCTGGCAGTCGTCTGCTGGCTGCTGCCTCTCTGTCTGTGTCTCCTGGGGTCCCTTTCATTGTAGTCATTCTTTAACTTAACAGTATATTAAGACTGGCAGAGAGAGAGAGAGAGAGAGAGAGAAGGGGGGAGGCAGAGTGCTTTTATTAGCAGCACCGGCCACAGACTAATAAGATTCTGCTGGATTGGACCAATAAAGCATGCACAACAGTGGCACCTGAGTGATGTGGTCGACCAGGATCATGGCAGCGACCCACAAAGTCAAACTACACTTCTGCGTGACCTAACCGGGCCACCTTCGACTCTGTGGCCTTCTAAATGACTAAAATATGAGTGTTGACAGAGTGGAGCCACGCTAATGAGTCCCTGTGTTTACTTTATATTTAGAATCAGCCAGCGTTTTGAGCTGGTGAAGCAAGTTAAGGCGTGACACCTGAAGTCACGCTGGGTCAGCTGAGAGCAGTGTTGTTGTAAGTGATTTTACGGTTGTTGACGAAACTGAAAAGGAAAAACGTTAAAGGACTAAGTTTGTTATGGTGTAGTCACAGGTTTGTTTTCCAATCGTAGATTTATTTATATTTATGACCTCATTCTTTACATTTTATCTAACTCATCTAAAGATGTTTTGATTAACTTCAATAGGTTGTAAAATTAAAGGAAAAATCAATGATATTCAAAGTTTTGTTTGTTACTGTCAAAAAATTCAAAAAACAAAACCAGCACACCACAAATACTCACTACAGCACGAAAAATTAAACTATATTAGGCCACTAATGATCACTCATTATTGATTAATCTGCCTAATATTTTTTTGATTAAATCAATTGATCATTAGTCTATTAAATGTCAAAAATAGCACCAAATATGGATTAATTTGCCGTTGGAANCAAAAATTAAACTATATTAGGCCACTAATGATCATTCTCATTATTGATTAATCTGCCTAATATTTTTTTGGTTAAATCAATTGATCATTAGTCTATTAAATGTCAAAAATAGCACCAAATATGGATTAATTTGCCGTTGGAAATAGTCCCCAACAAATGCACTATTTCTTCCTGTTTGTTTGATGAAAACTAGAGTGAGCAGTGAGCCATTTAAAACATATATATGTATTTAAAACTGTATATTTGTTGGCTGTTTTTAAACACTTATGTCTTCAGTAGGAAGAAAGACAGACAATGTTGGTTTTTGGTCTTTTTCATTCGATTTGTTGACCAAGTAAAAAGTCCTTTTAAAGCCTTTTAAATTGCAGCTTAATATAGATCTCGATGTGTTTATGTAGATTTTTAATGGGATAAAATCCTACAAATATATATTTTCAAACACTACAGACTCCAAGTATTTGAGATGCCATGATTTCGACAGTCAAAAATAATAATCAGGTGTTGAACCCAGTCTGTAAAAAAGTATCTTCAGCAATCGTTCTGTGTAGAAAGTCACAGAGACCAGTTCTTACACTAGCATTAGCATCAATAGACCAGAATGCATTGCGTCCACACAACATGTGTTTTGAGTAAGAGCAGTAGGAAATGTATAACTGGTCAAGGGGAAAGTGGGTTCATCAAAGAGGAAATGATAAAAGTTGATCGGAGAATTCCTGCAGAGATTCTCTGAACATCCCAGACTGAAGCTGCATTTACGTTTAAAGCAAAATACAAACTGATTTACCGACTGTTTCTGAAGAAGCTGCCAGAGCTTCTAACAGGAGTCTGAAGGTAGAAGAAATAACAACTGCATTATCCTCAAATAAAACCAGGTGTCATTACGTATTTGAAGCTCAGCAATGTGGGTCTGATGAGTCATGTTTAATCTGTAATCTTCAGGGTATTTGTGCAAAAGGTGATAAGCTCAAGAATTTCAAGCTATGTGAACTTTGCACTGAGGAAAGTCCCTTCGTGCAAACGTAAACAATCTGCACAAATATTTGCACCTTTTATTTTTAACCGTTTCCTTAAAACACAGAGGATCCACACACCTGGGTTTAAATGGACATTCAGAAAATGTCATGGTTGTGCTCTACCGCTCTTCCCGCAGTTTATACTCCATGTAAACAAAGGAGACAGGGGTTGAGATGAATGCCAGTGGGGGGTTTTTATTGCTCATGTTTCTCTAAATTAAGACCATATTTCCCATAAACCATGCTGTTTCCTGTCCCTCTTGACCATCCTCACGTGAAAAAAAAAAAAAGCGCTGATAACAGCCTGTATAAATTCTTGCAGGTAAACTAACATACTCTGGACTGACAGACCTTCTTTCTGTTTCATGCCATAAACTGATGCAGCAGGTTTTTCATGTGTTTCAGTAGAGGCTGACAGGCTTCTTACTGAGGGTCTGGTTTGTCACAGCAGCTGCAGTTATACTGAAAATGCTTTATATAATACCTTTAACTATATACCTTTACATCAATAAAACCATCCGCCCACGCAGACCCCAGGTAGACGAGCTGATTGCCTAAATAAATGCTCCAGCTGCTCATATGCAGAATTAACAGACCTGGAGTCAGGACATGTTTTGCTCAGCTTAAGCATAAAGTCTGGAAGCAGGGGAAACAGTAAACCTTGCTGTGTGCAAAGTTAATAACTCATTCTACCAACGCCTCTAAATCTCACTGATTAGCATGTTGTATCTTGTGAGTTTAACCTACAGACAAACAGAAGAGTTAAAACCACAATCTGTAGGTTCATTAGGAGATACACGCTGCAGTTATTTCTTGTTGTGCACTCAGGTTGCCAGGTTTGGTAGCACTGTGCCAAAACCGAAACCTCACCAGTGGCAATTGGCAGCATGTGCAATAGATGGAGGCTGAACACGTCCTGACAGCTCCACGCTGTCTTCTCATGTCACTCACTGAACGCAAATTAGCATATCTGCAAAAATGCTGAACTATTCTTTTACCTCTTTGGCTCGCATCAACGTGACAGCTCACATAGTTGTTAAAGGAAAAGTTTGACATATTAGGAAATACGCTTATTGGCTTTGTGGCAGAGTTCGATCATAGGACTGACTGGAACAAGACCAAACAGCAAATAAAATCTGATTACCGTTAAATCTAAAGCTCACTAATTACCAAGTTATTATTGTTTAATTTCTGTGAAACAACAAATTAAATTATAATTTGTTGTTTCACAGAAAGTATTCGGGCAAATAACAATAAAACAACTGTTGTTTTTACATTTTTTTGTATTGATTTAAAAACAGCATGATAAAATATTAGTGAGCTTCATTTGTGCTGATTTGGTGAGATTTTGGTTATTTTGGGTCAGACCCCGCCTAGTTTTACTTGTTTCCAGTCTTTATGCTAAGCTAAGCTAACTGGCTCCAGCCTGTAGAGACATTAGACTTGTATGGAGCTTCTAATCTAACTCTATATATCTCATAAATATATTTCCAAAAATGTCAAACTATTCCTTTAATGTCAGAACAGAACCTGTGGCCTTTCTGCAAGTGAGCTGCTGATAATGTTTCTCCGTCATGTTGGTTTATTTCAAACTAGCAGCAGTGACTTTCTGATTTGAGCTGTAAACGAGGAAAAATGTATTCAGAGCTCTGCAATATGTCATTTCTGAAGTGAGTGCGTCCTGTTGGTAAGATGAGGAGGTCTGTTTCCTTTTTTCCTGTTATCACACTGGGTGGTTTGATCTCAAAGGAGAGGGAGGAGATCATGATGCAGTGTTTTGTTAGTGAGCCTGAGGGCGTCAATAACAGCACACCTCCCTGCTGACGAGACAACTGCAGATATCAGATTAGAGGGAGGCGTGCGAGGCCGGTGGTCCCTCTCTGCTGCTATACTTTACATCCTGTATCGTCTGTGTGTGTGTGTGTGTGTGTGTGTCTGTGTGTGCGTTTGACACCTGCATCGGTCTCTCGCAGGATCGTCAGGTTTCCGTGGCAGATGGGCGAGGAAAAGGTTCGTCGTGTCTTTCGGGAAGCCCTGAAGATCTGGAGTGACGTCACGCCGCTCACCTTCACTGAGATCCACAGCGGGAAAGCTGACATCCGCATCGACTTCACAAGGTGAGAGGAAACAGATAACCCCTTTTTAATAAAGCATCATTAGAAAGGAAAAGGAGCCTGAATGTTTAGATGCTCAAATAGTAGCAAAAAAGTTTGTTTTTCATTGTTTTTTACTTTTACTTCTCTGTAGGACAGAGCAAACTTTGTGTTATCTTAAAAATAAAAATGAAAAAGACTAAAGGGGCAACAAACACTGGCAGAGTATGAGGCATCAAAACATCTGCACCGTATCTTCTCAGTCTTTAAGAGGAAGGCAGAGTGTCATTCAGGTGTTAGGAGAGTACAGGGCTCTCCAGTGTTCACCTGGTTGAATTTAATACCTTTTTAATACCTGTCTCACTGTCACATCAGCCAAAATGACAATAGAATGGTAAACAAGTTAAGATGATACGGACTACAATTATTTATTATTATATCAATTTTTTTTTGTGGGATATTGAAATTAAAATTAAATATAAAAATATATAATACCTGGACTTGGATTAAGGTTAAAAACTTTTTTTGTGGTGTAAATATTTCTGGATTCATATTTGTAGATAAATTAGAAAATAGATTCTTACAGATGTTAAATAAGTTGCCATAATTAATCACAAATTAATAAATGAATGTAAACTTTCTCTAAAAAGAATATAATTGATGGGAAGTATATAAATTGATATTATATGTAGTATTTATTCATGAATTCATTTATTTTCTTTACATATTTATATTGGTCACTTGTTGGATATATAGGATACATCCTCTGTAAAATGTGTGTGTATCTGCTTTTATAGCTCTAATTGAAGAAGTTCTTTCAGACATCAAATATGTTTTTATTTTTATTATTATTTAAATAAATTTAAAGTGTCTGTGTGTGTGTGTGTGTGTGTGTGTGTGTGTGTGTGTGTGTTAGTAGTTAGTTTTTTGTACCATTTCTGCGACGCCTGCTCCATCTCCTCCAGAGTTTCCTCCTGGTCATTTTTATCTGTGTTGGAACCAGTTTTACTTTTAGACCAGAAGAGTTTTTTTGTACCATTTCTTTTTCTTGTGACCTGCCTCGCTCTCCGGCTCCTCAGGGTTCGGCCTCATGCAGCTCTCTTCCTGCTCTGGCTCCTTTTCCTGCAGAGTTTTCTTAAGTTTCGAGTTTTCCTGAAGGAGGGAAAACTTGTCCCTCTGCCAGTCGATGCGCTGCCTCTCCCACTGCTGCTGGACTCTCTCCAGACGAGCCTCGAGGTTGTTGTTGCCATTTTTTAGCAGGTCGAGCTGAGCCTCATAGAGAGCCATGGATTTCTCCATCACCTCCAAGAGGGCGCGTGTCTCCTGCTGACACTGGACGTGGTGACTCTCCAGCTTTTGTTCACCTTTGTTTAATGCTGCCTCGAGGTCGCTGTTCTTCCGTTTCAGCTTGTCAAGGCGAGCCACATCGGACACTCTGGATTTCTCCATTTCATCCACCTGCTGCCGCAATTTGCGACGGGCAGTCTGTAGCTTTTCTTCATTTTTCTTTAGTGCCGCTGCGAGTTCACTGTTATGTTTTTTCAGCCTTTCGAGCAGAGCCACATTGAGCGCTCTGGATTCCTCCATTTCATGCAGCAGGGAGGTTTTCTGCTGGTTCAGTTGGCCAGCTTTCTCCTGCTGCCAGCAGAGGTACTGGGCCTGTTTGAGGGCAGCTTTGATCTTGCTGGTCTCCGCTCGGTGTTCCTCCAGCTGGGCTTGATGGGAAGCCTGTAATATTTCCTCCGTCTTTTTCGCATCCTCCTTCTGTTTGGAAAGAGCTTCCTCCATCTCGCTCAGTTGCCTCCGCAGCCTCTCAGTCTGAGCCCTCTCAGACACAAGATCCGTCTCCAGTTTTTCTGCCTTCAAACGAGTCGCAAACTCTGCAGCAGCTTTGTAGGACAGCTGCGACTGGGCCTCATGCAGCCGACCTCTCAGGTGATATATCTCCCTCTGCATCAGCTCTTTCTCCATTTGGCTCCATTTGTCGTCCTCTCTCTGTTCCTGGAGCTGGTTGAACAGCCAATCCTCTTTGATCTCCAACGGGAAGAGCTTCGCCCTGCTGTCCTTCATTTGTTCCTCCTTGTACCTAATGTAGAGGCGCAGTGTGGATTCAGTCTCCCAGTGGTTGCCTTCCATGTTTTACAGCCGCTGTTATTTCCTTCTCTGTTGTCTTTTTATCCTCAAAATGTGCATGTGCGCCTGTTATTCCAAAAACACCATGATGGGGTACAAAGCAAGATTCTGTCACTGATGGTGTCATAGTGATGATGTCACAGATATCAGCCCTTTGATGACAGTTGGCTCAGGACTTTTGAAAGCAACAAAGCAACATTCTGTGATTCCATTAATGACATCAGTGATGATGTCACAGAGTCCTCTGTCCTCTGACATCAGTCAGTTGGGCTAGGGTCTGTATTTTTTCATTTTCTCGTGAAACCCTCCCCCAAAAGACAGCAATTGTTGTTACCATGGTAACCATGATTTCTTTTGAACTGAGGCACAGCGAAGGCAGACTTCTTTGCTGATGTCATGAAGATCTCCTTTTGAAGCAGGGCGGATTCCTCTGATGACGTCACATTCTCAGTTGGGTTACAATCAAAGCAACAGAGCAACACTCTGCGATGCCATTAATGACATCAGTGATGATGTCACACTTTCACACAGCACTTGCTACCAAGGTGACCACGTTTTCTTTTGAATTGAGGCACAGCAAATTGGTCTCGATGAGAAATAAAAAAAATATATACAAAAATAAAAATACATAAATAATTTATTATTATATAAGTCTAAACTAATTGACGAATCAATTGATTGTTTCTACAACTTTTTTCTGAAATACTTCACATTTGACATTAAAATGACAATCATAAGTTGAAAGTTGCTTATTTGTCAATTTTTCTTGATGCAATGTTGGATTTTATTGACATTTTTTTATTTTTAGTTGATATGAGTCAACGTGTCCTATCAGCACCGCTGATGTCGGATACCATTCATGGTTTTGTATCACTTCAGTCTTAAAGAACTCATGTTTTTTACTGGCTCAGCTCATTTTTGTTTCCTTGTTCTGCTGATGAACTGATGTGCGTCTTTGTTTTTTTGTCATCACCACAAATAACCACGAGCTTCTTGGTCAACACAGAGTCAAACATGTTAAATCTGTTTATGAGTTTGGGCTGGAGGAATCAGATTAAATCAAATCTGATTTGGACAAAGATCTTTGCTACAAAGGGCTTTACAGAGCCATAAAGATAGAAACAAGAGATATTCGAGCAAGAAAAGGACAAGCAGAAAACAAACTCCACAATTTTAAGTGGTATCTGGGTCTTTTTGAAATGACTTAATTTTCTTTTATGTAGCTTTGCTTGTTTGTTCCTGCAACGATTTTGTGTTTTCCCCTTTTGAATCACGGTTTTGATTCATGCTTTATTGTTGGTCATGTCACAGCCGTCTTTGTTTTCCCTGCTACACCAAAATACCTTGGAGAATGTCAAATTTTGACAAAAAATATGGATTCATAAATCTCGCTGTTGTTGTGAATTAATCGATTAAGAAAATACCTGATACTTTAATGATTAGTTGCGGCCCTAATGGTTTAGTTTTTTGCTCAAAAGGGAACTTAACATTACTGCTATGTATCTTGTTAAATTCATGTTTAATTAGGTATAATGCTTTGACCTGTAATTGTTGAATTATTAATAATTAATATAATTAATAAAGATTGAGTTAAAAGGTTTATTGTGCTTTTCTAAGTCGTCAGAGTGGCTTCTATGTTCCTCAGAGCGTTTGTTTTACGAACCTGCAGGTACTGGCACGGAGACACCCTTCCCTTCGACGGCCCGGGTGGGATTCTTGCTCACGCTTTCTTCCCCAAAACACACCGACAGGGCGACATTCACTTTGACTACGATGAGTCATGGACCCTTGGAAACCACATGGGTGAGTGTGAGGCTGAGGCTGGTGTAGAGAAAGTAGAGAAAGAAAACTGTTTTTGAGTTCAACTAACACTTATTTTTTTACTTAGTAAAAACGTACAAACTAGAATAAAATAACAGAACAGACCAGAGCGTGTATTGAACAAACTGTTAAAGGTAAAATTAACTTAAGGACTGGAATTAGGTTAAAGATAAAAGTAAAAATCCTTCACTTTTACTCACAAACTAATGAATAAAAATAAATGACTTAAAAATGCACTTAAATGTCAGAGAGCTCCAGATTAACTGTGAGGATTTCTTTAAAAAAAAAAAAGAATTTACAATATGGCAGATGTATGGTCGATCAAGATCTCTGATTGGCTATTCCTTCTCTGATCATACATGTGATCGATCATGTGTTCACAGGTGATATTCCAAGAAGATAATGGCCATGAGCTTTAAGTTTGTCAGTACATTACTTAAATACTTTGTGCTAAAGTGATCATCTCTCTCTAAACCCCGCTGGGTGAGTTCATCAAGTCAATGACAAGTCAAACATATCTGACACATCTGTGCCACCAGGCTTTATCAGGACATAGACAGGGAAACAGGGAGGATAACAGGGAGCAGATATGAGTCAGCAGGATTGGAAGCAGTGGGGAACATTTTAATGTCTCTTTGATGTTGGCACTGCATCATCTCAGGTTGCAAAATCCCCAGCGTCTGCCTCTGCAAGCAGGTCAAAACAAATACCTGGAGTAGCTTTCAGACAGCATCTGAACCAGGTGTGGTTTTGCATCCTCTGAGGTTTGTCGACCCCCTCCCCCGCAGGCACAGACCTTCTCCAGGTTGCTGCCCATGAGTTTGGGCACGTCCTGGGCCTGCAGCACTCTCGCGAGCCGGGAGCCATCATGTCCGCATACTACTCCTTCTCGTATCCGCTGAGGCTGAGCGAGGATGACAAGCAAGGCATCCAGTACCTGTACGGCACTCATCCACAAGTCCTGCCTTCGTCGCCGCCCCCACCTCCACCTCCATCCAACCCAGAGACCAATGAGATCGTCACTAATGTGAGTGGAGCTGATGAGACCGTTACTGAATTTAACAACACAGTGTGCCTGGGAAGAATGATAACATTTGCAAAATAACAGGTAATATCAAAGAGTAAAAAAGTTTTTTTTTCCAATATCAGGCAAGTTGATGGTTACAAATGAAAAGCTCTTTATAAATATTGGGTTACACATAAAAATGCACCGAAGCATAACTGCAAAAAACCCTGAGGTCGGTCCAACACTTCCAGAGACATTCATATATTGTTTCTATATTAAACACAATGACAATATTAAGTTTTAGAGAAATATCTCAGTAGCTGTTGGAGGGATTTGCATGAAATTTGTTGGAAACATTCAAGGTGAATTCTAATAATTTGAATCATCCTCTCACTTTTCCATTGACGCCATCATCAGGTCAAAATTTTAATTGGTCTAATATCCGCAAAACTAATAATATTCCCATCAGCCTCAGATGGACTTTGTGTTACTTTGTTTGTGCTAATTAGCAAATATTAACTTATACAAACTAACATGTTAAATTGCTAAATTATTTATTATTATATTTATAACAAGTGCAAGGTAAACAGTAGAAATACTGTTTATATTACAAACTAACCTACCAAGAATGTGCATACATGTGTTTGATTGTTGGAGCTGCAGCAGCAGAATAATCCACTGATTAAGGCTGGATAGTTCTGTATTTGTCTTATCATTAACAACTCCCATGGAAAGACCCAAACCAACAGTCCCTCCTCTGTCTGTGGCCCTCAGCTCCAAGTTCATTGGTTCCTAATGAAGAATTAAAACTTTAAAAACACCTCACTGAAAAAAAACAAAAACAATTGATAGTTTCAAGCCCTTAAATAGACACTGTAGTTTTTAGCAAACAAACAGTAAATAGTTCATTTGTTGGGGACTATTTTCAGCAGCGAATTAATCTACAATTGGTGCTCTGGTGAGTATTTGGGGCAGCAGGACGGTGTGTGTGGGATTGCATCAAATTAAACTACAGTGAGTGTGTTCATGGTTCATGTGGCTCATTGATGTGTTTGTAATAGTTTCTGGAAACAATGGAGCTCTGTGGCTCAGAGGAATAAGAATCTATAGGGAAAACTTGTTTGTAAGATCAAATCATTTTTATGGGATTTGTTGGCAAGAAGAACAATATCGAACACATCAGGCTTTATCCTTAAAGAGGAAGTCGTTTCTGCGGTCGTTACTCACTTATACAGTGAATATCTTTGAGAGGACACCACATCATACAGAAGTGTATTTTTGAACCATCGATGATAAATGAGGGTCAAAGACAAACGTTAGATTTTAGTCCCATCAGAGTTTCTCACAGGAGAACGCTGGAAAAAGGTTCAGTCATCATTATTTTCTCTTGTAAAACTTGTAACTGAGAAGTTTTACACTTGTACTGAAAATCTTCAGCTGGATCCTAAACTGAATTAAGCACCGGATCCTGCTGTACTTTATTTTAAGGATCATTTCAGGCAATAAAATTTCTCTTTAACACTGTATCCCACTGCAATAAAAATCCCTATTGTTGGAGATTTTACATTTGCGTGTATCACTTTCAAATGAACAAGTGATCTGTTTTATTTCCAGCCCGACGCCTGCCAGACGGACTTTGATGCTGTGTCTATGATCCGAGGGGAGCTGTTCTTCTTTAAGTCGGGCTACGTTTGGCGGATCAGGGACGGGCATCTGGAGAGCGGTTACCCGGCGCTGGCGTCCCGTCACTGGAGGGGGATTCCTGACAACATTGACGCCGCCTTTGAAGACAAGTCAGGGAATATTTGGTTCTTTCAAGGTCAGTGAAGAAGATGTTTGAGCTGCTGTCATGTGGTTTCATGTGAGGGCAGGATCAGGGGGGAGGCAGTCTCACGTTAAGTGCACAGATCAACAAAAAGTATCGTACCACTATGGCTGAGCTTGTCCTCGTTGGGAATGCCAAAAATTCTCAATTTACTACACGTTATGTGAGTCATAACTTATATTGCATCAGATAAAGTGAATTACAAGGTAAAGCCTGACTGTCTGGGCCTTGCTGTTACCTTGATGGAGAGCAGGTTGAAGTTCAGCAGCTTGCTTAAAGACACTTCAGCAGGAAACATGGCTGTTTGAGGGTTTGAACATCTGACTTTTTGGTTCGGTGTTGTCTTTATCCACTGAGCTACGCTGAAGCTCCAACTGATCACACTGAAATAAAACAGGAGACAAAAAATTGAATTAATCACCAACAGTAACCAAAGAAAATTGTTAATTTGATGCAGCTGCATAGATGTTGTCAGGTCACTGAAGACACTAGCGGTGTCCCAGTTCAGGGGCCGCATCCTTTGGAGGACGCGGTCTACCAAGTTTGTAGCCATTATAGGCCGCAAAGGCCGACATAGGTCAGTCTTAATTCTGCTCATGGATTAGTCTAACGGAAGTCAAAGACTGACTCATTTTAAGCCAAAAACATTAGACACCAATTAGACACTGCAAAGACCAATGTTACCATGGCAACAGTCTATGACACCTGCATTGACCAGTAGCACCCCACAACAAAAAACAGGAAAACATGGCTCATAATTTGTGGTTTGCTAACATTGTTATGGAGAGAGCAATGAGAAAGAGTTTTTAGAGACCTCAGTCTTTTTTTTTTTTCCAAATTCGATTTGAAAAATGTCCTTGTTTCTTTATCTGTACCTTGAATTCCCCTCCAAAAGACACAAATTTTCTGCTGGGGTAAACAGAGCTGAGCAGTTGGATGCAGTTCCTTGGTCGGCCATTTTTTTTTTATATTTAAAGTCTTAATTTACCCAGAATTCATTGTATCACAATCCGCTTTAAGATGGAATTTAGATATCTATCTAAAGCCTAACTATTTGTTATATATAAGTAATAGTCAAAGTCTATTTTCGTGAAACAGGCCCCTTATCTAAGGAGGGATTTTCGCTGCGTAACCAGCTGTTCCCGCCCTTACCGTTGCGTCGCAAAGCACGGTTTCTGTCGCCTAACAACCTTGACAACATATAACTTTTTTTTTCCACAAAAAAAACTTGAGGTATTTAAGGCCCTTGGTTTTAACGGTTGTATCGTTAGCTGTTGAACTGAGCTGAAACCCAATACTTACAGTTAAATGTGTAATCCTCGGGCTCTCTGTCGGTGTCGTTTGCTCTCAATTACCGGCGCGCAATGAATCTTGGGATATGTTGAGTCGCATTTCTCAGCCGTATTTCAAGGAAACCTCAAAATGGGACAGAATAGTCGCAACAACAAAAAAAACTTAAAAAAAACAAAACAAAGATAGAACAAAATAACTAATAATCTATAAATCTAAAAAAAAAAAAAAAAAAAAGGGGGGACACTGGTCGCATGGGTGTGACGCAATCGGTCTTTAAACGCAGCCTGTGAAAGATACGACCCCCTGTCAGTGTCTCAAGTTGTCTAAATAAAAGTGGCAATTACAGAGTCAAAGACGAATGAAATTTACCTGCAGGACGTTAACGGTTCACCTTGATTCACCGTCTGTCTCGGCAGGTGAGAACTACTGGGTGTTCGATGCCGAGATGCAGATCAAGGGGCCGGAGTCCATCAGGAGTTTGGGTCTATCGGTGTCCGGGATCCAGGCGGCGCTGCGCTGGGGCCACGACTCCAACTACAACACCTACTTCTTCAAGTCAGGCAGCTACTGGAGGTTCAGCCCCCGCGAGAACCGGGTCCAGTCCGTCTACCCCCGCAGCATGCAGGACTGGAGCGGCATCCCCGACGACGTGGACGCCGCTTTCAGGGACATCTACGGTACGGCCCCAAAACGAAAACATGAGAGAACAAAGTTAAAAGTTCGGGATTAATTAATGGGATTTCGATGATCCAAGACTGAATAATTCATTTTTTCCCTTTGACTCTACATTGAATATTTAAACCCAAATTGCTTTGACTGCACAAATACATTCCTTATTATTTTAGTTACAGTCGTTCAGGGGTTCTCACAATTCTCACAATATCTGAGAGAAGCTCCAAGTTTCAACTCAAAGTTATGATGATAAATTACCACATTAAACTCTAATGATAAATGGATGCTCCTTAGAGACGTCAGCAAGACACAACTCAAATTAAGTAAATTATTGGTGCACAGATGTTTCTCAGAGACGCTAGTTTGCATGTTAATAAACATTCATGTATGAAAATGAATTTAGTTTTTGTATGGAGCTGCTGTGAATCAAGTTACTGAGCCTAGACAATCTCTAATCTGTTACCTGACACAATCTATGTGGTTTGTGGAGTCTGCTCCAAGGATTACACTGTGATAATGTTTGCACTTTATGAACATCACTAAATCATGTCTTTATTTTAACTCGAACATCATTGAGGGAAAAGCCCTAAAAAGAACATCAGTTAAAACAAACATATAAATACAATTAATAAATAATGTAATGACAAGATTCAATTAAAACTGGTACAAACAGAAATGAAAAGGTCAGAGATTAAGAATCTAAAATGACCAACAGCTACCAACAAATTCAATTATAAAATTGCTTTGTAGTGAGTTCAGGTGGACGGGGCAAAGACGCCAAAAGCAGATCTTCTAAGATCAGTATGAACTCGAGGGACATGGAGCATGAGCCGGTCATTGGTTATTAGTCATCTAATGTGGTGCAGTGGACCAGACCGACATGTCAGACATGAAGGCAGCTTTCCATGAAGGGTTTTGGAAATAAACAAATCTATGTGCAAATCAGGCCTCTCAGAGAGAGAGAGAGAGAGAAACAGTGTTATAAGCATCAGCAATATTCTGATCTTTTCCCTTAATTTACTCACCAGATTATATGATGCACACAAACTCATCAGCCATAAATGATTTTTGAAGGATGAATTCTGAGCTTCTCTTTAATCTGATGCTGTTTTCTTTAAAATATTACTGCAATAAAGAAAAACAGTGCAAGATCCTTGAGACTGATTTCTGACACACTGATTTCACAATAAAAGCCACTGTGGTTTGTGTCTTTCAGGCTACGCTCACTTCATCCGAGGGCGACAGTACTGGAAGTTCGATCCTGTCGGCATGAACTCTTTGGAGGGATACCCTCGCTACATCGGCATGGATTTTTTCGGCTGTAGGAACGTGTGAGTTTTTTAACCGTGGAGATTCAGACGGACAGATTTTTTTTTTTTCTTTTTTAACAATGAAGAGGAGTTTTTGAAACGAAGACATTTGTATGTTCATACTACAGATTCAGGGAGATGAGAGGATCTCCTTCAAATCTGTTCATGCTTTACTCCATTTATTGATACTCAGATCAATTACAGCTTCTTCTCAGGAAAACCAAGTTATGTTTCCTCAGACTTGGCACCTCCTGTGCAGCTATACTCATATTTATTTTTGCACATTTGGGCCCTGTATTAATGACGTGTGATACCGATGTGAACCGCACCGTTCTCACCTCCTTCTTTTGAGCCTGACGTTGAGCTTTTCGACTGAAACTGGTTCACAGACAGAACCAGAACCAGTACAGACTGTCTTATTCCCTGTAGTGGATGTTTTTTCCATCATGGATGGACTTGCGGATCCTCGAGTGTTTGAAGAGTGGCATCAAGTGGCATTCAACCATGAATCGGAACAAAGAAACAAAAGTGATGGGCTCGTTTGTGTGTTTATGCTCTTACCAGCTTTCGAAGCGCTCGGGGGTTTCTTGCCCTGAGGTGCGTCTCTCAGGCAGCCGTCACTCTCATGCTGTGCAGTGTCACCAACAGTCAAGTTTCAAACCAAATCTAACTCAAATTTTAACCAAATTTACAGAGAAAATGTGCAAAAGAAAAAAAAAATGCATGTCATTTCTTGCTCCCATCCACTACTCTCATGTGAATATTAGGAGTCGGATGCGTCCAGTTCTCATTCTGCCATTGGACCATTGCAGAGGTGCAGTGGATTACCAAGTGGAAAATGTGAAGGAATTATGGCTTTTCTGTTTGTTTCTCGTGACATGAGGAAGGTAACGGCCTCCTCATCGCTCCGCACACATCTGATGTTTTCAACTTCTCAGTGACGGGTGACGTTCAGGTCACATGCCGATTCACCCACCACGTCTGCTTCCACCGCACTTTGTCGCTTCTTGTTTTACGGATACACCAACTTTTCCACCTCAGCCAAGGGTAAAACGTTTTTTTTTTTGTAATATTCAGACTCCTTTTTAAAGGATGGAAAAGCACATATCACAAATTAGTGACTGACTATTAGCAAACAGTCCTGACAGTGCTGACCTTTGAGGGCGTGAAGACCTGAAGAGTCTGAAAAAACATTTTTAATCGTATTTATTTTTCATATGTTCCAGATTTCAGTAAGTTGGATGAGATGTTTCTCTGTTGTTGTGATTTAGGCTGATAACGTCTGGTTTTTACATTAAATCTTTCCTCATGTAGATTTTAGATCTTATGTTTTGTTACCTGCTTTTTATTCCCTGACCGAACAAAAGAATTTCTGCTTTTCATAACATAAGGAGCCTTAAAGAAATTCAGTGTTGATGCAGGAAGAAGATGTGATAACATTACTGTTCGTGGAGTTTTAATGTCCCTTTTCTAACATGATGTGTGTGAAGCTCTGTATCACTCACCGGCCTGCGGGCCTGTGTTGCAGCAGAAGCTCCAGGGCGCCATCTAGAGTGCAGCACTGTCACTGTCACCCTGCAGGAGGAGGGTGATCCTCATGTTTTGTGTCTCTCATCCTTGACGAAGTCGTTGCTTATCCATAACATGGTGCGCTGTTCAGGTCGGTCCGTGCAGCGCGGTCAGGGGCAGCAGCTGCTGTGAGGGTCAGTGGTTCTCAACCTGCTCAGCCAGAAACACTTTAATTTTGACCTTATTTTTGCTTTTCAGGCTGTTTTACTGAACAAAACGAATGTTTCACAAGAATTTATCAGAGATTATTGACTGGATGGTAATGGTGATACTTTACGTTAGCTACTTTAACTACTTCCTTTTTTAGAGACAACTGGATTTCAGAGACAAATATTGTTGGGCTGCAACTAATAATTATTTTCATCATTGATTAATCTGCCAATTGTTTTTTCGATTTTTTTGCCAATAAAATGAGTTAATAGTGAAAATTCTTATTGTAATTTCCCGCAGATAACGATGGCCTCCCCACGTCTTTTGCCTGATATTCACTTTCCTGTGACAATGAAAAGCGTCAAATCTTTGCATTTGAGAAGCTAGAAACATTTTTGCTTAAAAAATTATTGAATTATCAGAAAACTTTCAGATTAACTTGCAGTTCTCTTCATCAATTAATCAACTAATTGTTGCAGCTCAAAAATACTGTACTGTTACTCTGCTGCTTATTGAACAGCGAGAGTTAATAATTACTTTTTAACTTAAGACTAAAAATGTATGATGATGATGATGAACTGATAAAACACAACACATTGTTAAAGATGTAAACCCATACTACTTTATACAGTACTACATAATAATCACCATAGTACTTAGTAGTCCATACAACAAAAATCAACACGCTTCACCATGTTACACTAAAAGGAAATTTAAGATGTTTTGGAGTTTGTTGTTTCACCACCATCCACAATTTATTTGAATATTTTAGCATCCATATTTCCTGGTCTGAGTATACTCGAGGATACTACTTAAAAGTATTATGTAATATGGGTTTCCAACCTTTTTGGCTTGTTACCTCTTACAAGAAACCCTGTTTAGGGCTCCATGTTTCAGATGAGTTGCCAGCAGTTTTCTCTCTCAGCATCTCTGCATGATTTCATTTCAACCTTTGTGGTTCTGAATATTTCTTCCACCGCTGCTGAATAGTGAAAGGGTCTTATGGACACCCGGGTTGAGAACCGCTGCTCCTGCGAATCTGACCTTCCCTCTGCCGTGTCCCTGGCTGCAGCACTCAACTGTGAAGTCTCAGCACTGCCTGCCGTGTTCGTCACATGTTAGTTTTTCAGTGCAGGACACTGACGAGTCGTTACGGTTTTCATCATTCAGTCCGTTGTTGCTGTTTGAATCTTTTCATCAACTCATTTCAAGTGTTAATCAGTGAACTCTGCTTCGAACAAATATTTATACACAATCGACTTAGCAAGAGTTTCTTGTACATACATGTCTTTGATTATTATTTTTTTTACTCATATGTAGCCTATACATTGTACATTGAAAAGTATGAACTGCATATTGTTTCTTTCTAATAAAACCATAACCTTTTTACCAAACTGCTGCCTTTAGAGAGTTAACACTGATTCACCACAGAAACTTTCAAACTAGACATTTATACGCTTCATATTTGATCAAAAAGGTTATTTAAATATTTTTTTATCTGTCATGCACAGTGAAATAAATGTCCTTTTTTATCTAAATGTAACATTTATGAATAACCTACTTAATAACTTGAATACATCTGTTAAAAAACTAGCTGACAAATATATTGTATGAATTTAACTGACAAATAAATTCACTTTTCAGCCAAATCTGAATATTTTTCAAAACATAACTAATAGATATTTTCTTTATTAAAAAACATCATATCTTGATGATGTTGTGGTATGTCTTAAAAAACTGGTTTGCAAAATGGTTTGTTGCTGAAATGATATTTTATAGACTGAATCATCAACAATTTAACAAGATATTATTTCTAAGTTTCCAATTTTGAGTAATTTCTATATGAAGTCTTTCAAAAACGGATAATTTTGTAAATTAATTCTCAGTTACGATAGTTTAAATTTCTAAAAATGTCTCTCATTTTATTCTGTCATTGTTCATCAGGTTTGTATCTTTTAGACTTTATTTCACAAACTGAATCCCACTGAGATCTTTTTTTCTAAGGGAGACTTAATAAAAAAAAAAATAGAAAGATATAACACTGGGATTAAATGTGAAAATGTCAGAAAAAAGAATTTAAATGATATTTCTGAATCCGTATTCTAAGTTTATTGCCTTAAAAGTGACTATAATGTGTTAACAGTTGACAGTGTGATGAGTGAATGTGATTGCCTGGTTCAGGGAGGGGGGGGCGGGGCCTGTGGAGTTCATTCAGTGGGTAAATCATGGTTGACAGTGAGGCACAGCAGCAGCGATGGCTCACAGCTTCACTCAGGAGTATTTTCAGATCCCTGTGGTGACCAGAACATACACAACCGCCTGCGTCCTCACAACCGCTGCCGTGGTAAGAAACAACAGAAACAACAACAACAACAACAACAACAACAACAACTTAGTCACATTCAAGAAAACAACAGAAGTTTTCAACTCTGACCTCCATGATCAGATTAGACAGAAGACATGCACTGATATCAGGAAAATTCATAGTCTAACACTTATTATGAACTGAATTATGAAGTTTTAAGACTATTTTTTATATACTTCCAAATTAGACATTGTGCTCATGTTAACATTATGAATACAAGTTGCTTTCTCACGCTTTTTAGTCGTACTGTGTTGTTTTTTAATTTACTTTCACTTAGAAAAGACAAAATTTACTACAACATCTTCACATGTTGAGTCTTTGGAGCTGTTTGTGTGGTGTGGTACGACAGTTACAGTTGAAGTTGAAGCAGTTAAGAAGATGGAGAGTCAGAGCGCTGAAAGGAATTCAAGTATTAGCTGAAGTGTTGGCACTAAAAGGAGTTGAAGTGTCAGCAACGAAAGCAGTTGATATGTCAGTTCCAGGTTAAACACTGGACTGAAGTTGAAGTAAAAGTGCTGAACACATTTGAAATGTTAACCCAAGTAAAATCACTGAATGCAGTTGTACTCACTCAGAATTTGAGATGAAAGCACCTGAAGTGTCATTTTAAGAGAAACAAAGAAAATAATTTAATTAAATGTTAGCACTGAAGAGATATGAAGCATGTGCACTTAAAATGGTATGAATTTAGCTGTTGAGCTGTAAGTAAAAGATGAAAGCAGATGAAATGTCAGTTGATATGTAACGGTGGAAGTTTAAGTGTGAGCTCTGAAAGTAGTTGAAGAGAACAAGATGAGGGCAACTGAGGTTTCAGATGAAGTTGAAGCAATGAAAGCAGATGAGGTGTCAGCTGAACACATTTGACTTGTTAATTGAAATCATAATAGATTAACATGGATGAAATGTCAGTAGTGTCAGTTAAAATGCGAGAAACAAAAGCACTTCAAATTTTAGATGAAGTAAAAGATTTGAAAGTAGTTGCAGTTGCAGTTGATATACATTGACACCAGCTGAAATCAGCTGAAGTGAGAACTAAAAGTAGTCAAACTGTAAGTTTACTAGTAAAAAGTGAAAGCAGTTGAAATGTCAGTAGATATGTAACAGACAAAAACAGTGTGGAAGTGCCACTTAAAGTGAGATGGACAAAAAAAGCTCTTTAAATTTCTTGATTTAAGTGTAAGATTTGAAAGGGGTTGAACTGTCAGTTTATGAGTAAAAGATGAAAGCAGTTGAAACGGCAGTAGAAGTTTGATGGCTGAAAGCAGCTGAAGAGCAAGTTAATGTAATACATTTTAATTCAGTTAAACTGTAACCAGTGAAAGCAAATGAAGTGTAAGCAACAATTTCAAGTTCATGAGTAAAAGGTGAAAGCAGTTGTAATGTCAGTAGATCTGTCATGTGTAAAAGCAGTTCAAGTGTCAGGTAAAGTGTGAGCTACAAAATCACATTTGAAAGTAGTTGAACCATCAGTTAGAGAGAGGGAGGGGACAGCCGTGGAGGTTTTCGATTACTTTAACTCAATGAAAGGAGTCGAAGTGTCAGTTGAAATGTAAAAAACTAAAACAGCTGAAATTTAGTTGAAGTGGAGGCACTTGGAACAGCATAAGTGTAGATTTTTGAGCTGAAAGTGTGACTTAAAGAGTAAAAGATTAAAGCACATGAAGTGTCAAGTAGTTCAATGCAACACATCAAATATGTATCAAAATAATGATAATCCTTGCATGTCTTGATACTTTAACTTGCTGACTAATCTCAAAGTGTATGTTATTTTTTTAGCAACTTGAGGTCATCACCCCCTTTCAGCTTTACTTCAACCCCGACCTCATCATCAGAAGATACCAGGTAACATTTAGCACCTCTCTTAATCAACTTAAAACATGTCCATACGGTATATTATCTTATTTACACAATTTGTTTTCTCTCTATCTGTCTCTTAGATATGGCGTCTGATAACCAGCTTCCTCTTCTTTGGTTCTCTTGGATTCAGTTTCGTGTTCAACATCATCTTCCTGTATCTTTTTATCACAGTGATTCCTTGGGCAAAAACTGAGGAAATATCTCAGTTTATGTCATCTGTTATCAGTTTACTATAGATTCTAATGGCAGCACACATTAGCCACATTAAATCTACAGCAGAGTCCTTGACTAAAATAAGTTATCGATACTGTCGGATGCTGGAGGAAGGCTGCTTCCGTGGAAGGACGGCAGATTTTGTTTTCATGTTCATGTTTGGAGGAATCGTGATGACTGTATCCTTTAAGACGCTTAGCACAAAAACAAAGTGTAAATCCCCAGGTTTTACTGAAATGATGCTTAAACTAACACTGTTATGACATCTGTAGGTAATTCTTTAAAGGCCCAGTTTACGCAAATAACAAAAAGACATGCAAGTAGTGACAGAAATCCAAGAAAGACTATCTTAAAATCTAAAAAGTGAGACCAAAAGGATTTAACAATCTGCAGGTTAATTTGCCCTCAGTTTTCAGGTAACAGGCTGGTTGATAAACGTCTAATTTTTGGTTATGTGTTTGCATTCCTGTGCTCCTGATGGCTGAGGGATTATTTTTGTCTAAACTGGGACGTCTACCGGTTAAAAGCATGTAAAAGCAGCTACTGTACACACAGCCCGACTTTTTTTTTTTTTGATGATGCTCAGCAGTTTGTTGCCAGAAGCTCTTGTTCACATTCCAGGTTAATGGTACAGTCCTGGGTCTGTTTACTACAGACGTCCCCCTGGGCTGTTGTGAAACGGTCAGTGTGCAGGTTTATGGGTTTTCCTGGAGCCCTGTTATGTTTCATGGACAGATTTAAATGCAGGTGTATGAGGACTGATTCTACTGTAATATCAGGATAGTACAGTGTTGAGTGTGTTGAGCTGAGATGAAAAGAATGTCAAAGGTTGGCTCTTATTGTGAAGGGTTTAGTATTTGGTAAACAATACCACCAGCTCCAAAATAATAGTTTAGAGAAACTTAATGTTCCAGATGGTAGTTTTAGCACTTTATTCTAAGAAATATTCACATTTTAGGAAACTGTGTCACGTAATAAAGTGCTGAGTGATTAATGTCCGGTACTTTACATATTGTTGTTACGTTATATAACATTTCAGGAGGAAGAAATGTCCCCAAAACAGTTTTCTGACTATATACTACATGTCATAACATATACTACATACATGTAGTATATGTTATGACATGTAGTATATGTTATGCATATGACAAGTCAAATTTTGACTTCAGATAAATCAATATTTAGAGAGAAATCATATTTTCTAATTCTGTCAAAGTCCAACTAAAAAAGTGTCATAATTATAGTTAAATTTAGACTTTTCTTCTCAGAATTATGATATTATATCAATACATCTATCAGAAGTTTAATTTAATATGTCAATTTTTAATCAAATCATGTCAACAGACAATATTCTTAATATTCCATAATCTTTAGTCCAACCTAAACTACAGTTTTAATATGATCAAAAATAAAAAATACTCCTGGTAAGGCAAAGTTATAAGATACTAGGCTGTAATTATGAGACATAATTATATTATATTAACTTTTCTACTCAAAATTAGGAAAGTTAGGCAATAAATATATAACAATTAAACTTGTGATATGTTATTAAATCAGAATTTTTAATCATAAGAAGTCACCATGTAATAATCTTAGTATCTTATAATTCTAAAATCCAACTTTTAATCTAACAGGTAAATTCACAGTATATGATATAAAGTTTTGAGAAGCCAGTTTTGTGACTTAATTCATAATCATATGATAATAAGTTAATATTTCTTAATTGTGATTTAAGAAGTCAACTCTACTAATTTAAACTATTTAAGTAACAATTTTGACACTTAATGTTGATGTTAAAATATTGAGAAAGTATAAAGTCGCCATTCAGCTGCCACCAACTCGGGTTTAACTCAACTAAGAAAGTTATTTCTACCAAAAACTGACATTTCCACCCAAAACAGACTGAAGTGTTGATTTTACTGTTGTAACAAACCGAGTGATGAGTTGTATTTAACCTGAAGGCCTGAAGCTGTTCGGTCTGTTCGCCAATGTCTTCTTCCTGGGTCAGGCCTTCATCATCATGCTGGTGTACGTGTGGAGTAGAAGACATCCGCTCATACGCATGAACTTCTTCGGCCTCCTGAACTTTCAGGCGCCGTTTCTCCCCTGGGTGCTCATGGGGTTTTCGCTGCTGCTCGGAAACTCCATCGTGGTCGACCTCCTGGGTATAAAACATGTCACCAAAAAACCAACAACATCTGATGTAACCAGACCTCAATGTATTAATGTTGGACGGTGCTCAGGAGGAGGATTATTTTTTATTTGTCTCATTATCAGAAACTCCCAAGAAAAGACCCAAACCAACATGTGAGTCCGTTTCTTGACACTTTCCGACTTCCCTCCGCAGGTATCAGCGTCGGCCACATGTACTACTTCCTAGAAGACGTGTTTCCAAACCAGCCGGGAGGAAGGAAGCTGCTGATGACACCAGAACTTCTGTAAGAACCACAAGTCATCTTGACAAACTTTTAAGTTGGGATTTCTGGCACAACTCCACCCACTTCAAAAAGGTGCACGGAGAAGAGAAAACAACCAGAAGAGCTCAGAAGCACCTGTAGAATAAAGAACATTTATTTGCCACATCCATCATCAAATGCTTCAAGAAACAGAAGCTTTAAAGCATGAATTCACGCTCTAACTTCCTGTCTGTGCACGACTTTAGTCTTGCTTAAATCAGGAACTACTACTTTCTTTAGATAAAAGTCCTAAATTGACATTATTTTACATTATTATTATATTATATTATATATGGCTGTTTGTGTTAAGGAAACATTAAAAACTTCTAAGTTGAAGGTTTATTTTGTTAAAACTAAACTACTGAAAACTATGAGAACTACTGTAGAAACCTGAAGACGATGAAACGTCTACAGTTGCATCTACAGTTTCCCTCTTGATGCAACATTCCTTGGATATGAGTGCAGGTTTTTTTCTTTTAAAGTGGAAATATTCCCATAATGTTTTAGGAATCAAACACCGACCCTCTGAAGGTTCAGAAACGTGTCACAATAAATGCACGAAAAATCTTCAGTTTCAATTTTATCCCATCTTTAACAAAAGACTTTTTTTCCCGCCAGTGCTCAATTACCATATCCACATTATAAGGTAATATTTTTCAGAGGAACTTAGTGAACTTGAAAGTAAATGAGTTGAATCTCTCTTTACAGGCGAACCATGTTTGATCGGCCGCAGGACCCAGACTACCATCTCCTCCAGGAGCAGCAGCAGGACGAGGAGCCGCACAACTAACAGCAGCTAACAGCAGCTAACAGCCGCTAACAGCCGCTAACAGCCGCTAACAGCAGCTAACAGCACAGCCGACACCAAGACCCCCAGAATCAGCAGGAATCATCAGGCAGAGACACAGTCACAAGATGTGGATTCACACACGGTCCTGAACCGTCGTAAAAGACAATGAGACGCAGAAGGACTGAACTGAAAGCCCAGCATCATAATCAATTTTTCATTTCAATTACGAAAATACATTTCTGTTTTCTTAAAACTATTTTTGGAAGCTAATGGCACGTTCACACAGAAAGTGTTTGAAACTGTTGAACTGTGGAGAAGTTATTTGTGTGGACGAGAAGACACCAGCACTGAAAACGCCAGAGAAGCAAATCAAGACTGTGTCGCTGCGTCTGAGGCGTCAAAGTGTGACTTAAACCAGCGACAGGATATGAGGCCAAAATGCAAAGGATTAGGGGAAGAACTGAGCTCGTGTTCACATGATTTTATAAGTGTTCTTCAGTAGTACAAAGAGAACAGAGATGACTGTATGTGTGACACAATAATCTCTATTTAAAGGCAGCCTGTGGAGATTTGGACCTTTAGTTTTTCTTTGTGAGTGAGTCCCAGTTTAGTTTGTGTCACACACACGCAGGGACGACAACACGGCAACGTGTCAGCGAAGGCGACTGTTGCAAATAAACATGGGTGTCAAATGTTCATGATATCACAGCTTTGTAAAGGTTTTGTGAGGATTTATTCAACACGTTTGTGAGACCTCGATGCGTTTTGTTTGTTGACAAGAAAACTCCACAGGACACCTTTAACGTCCACTTACACGCTTCCTCTGAGCTCTCAGGGGTCACCTGAGGGTGATGGATGTAGGCGACATACGTAACCCTGTTTCCTAAAAGTGTGAGATTCCTGGGGTGCGTAGAAAGCTAGTAAGTGGACCTTTGAGTTAAGATTATTCATGTACCAACAGAAATCATGTTAAATACCAGAAGCAGGTTTATAAAAGAAGCCAAATGTGTGTTGTGTTGCTGTATTTCTTAATCCAACTGATTCATTTGACCTCCGTTTACAAAGCTTTTCCTTCTGTCAACATAAACAACATGAACATAAGAACCGTGTAAAAGAAGTAAACACAGTCAGAGTGAACATGACCAGATAAGTGAAGCTGTCGTATATACTGTGACTGACCCATCGCTCCCTTCCCTGCTGTTGCGTCACCACCGCTGGTTCAAACACAAACTGCCGACAGCCTGAAATCCCATCAGCCCCGTCTGCACACTCTGCACTTTCACCCGCTGCCTTTGTGGGTCAAACACTGGGGACAAAATGGAAATTGCTTAGCACAACAACACGCAAACACGTCTCTGTGGGACCCCGACAACAAAACACATCATCCCTTATAACACAGCGCTGCGGGGGAAATATTAGTCACAGCTGAGGTCCGACTGATGCGGGTGTGAAGGTCAACACCAAGAAACCAGGTCTTTGATTTTAAAATCATCGACAGGAACATTTGTAGTGACATCATTATGGGACAAAAAAACGAACAAATTCATTATTACTCAATGTTTTTTTTTTTTTTCAAGCTTTAAAAAAATGATGCAGAGTGATGTCTCATCTTGAACACGAAACATCTTTGTCCAGGAGTGAATGTAGACACAGGCCGACAGCAGAGATTCATTTTCTGCGGTTCTGTCGACTCTGAGAATTTATGTTGTTTAGCTCCAGTTGAGGAAATTTAAATCCTTAATTAATTATCACTTGCTGCAGTTGAAGACATCGTTAATCATGTGAGCTTTAATTAAAAACACACTCTTTCAAATCACGACTGTGAAGTAAAAGAATTCCTCGCTGAGCACATCAGTGGGGACGGACGCATGATGATGATGTAAAACAACCAGACAGGAAATCAAGCTTTAACTTTTTTTTTTTTATTTTGTAAGAATTATTAAAATGTACAAAAAGACAACAAATACAACATAACAATATATTATCTGAGACTGGTTGTGTGTTTTTTTTTTCCTCCCTCTGTGGTCGGGTAAAGAGTCAGTGGTCAAAGTGAGAGAGCAGCTTCTCCACGCCGAGGGTCGTAAAGGAAAACACGAAGGAGGGAGGGACATTTTCTACCGGGGGGCTTTGCCAAACAGAACGAAATATTAATATTAATAATGAAAATAAAAAGCAAGACGGTGAACGGCGGACTGAGGACCCGGTCGAGCAGTAAACACATCCGGCGCACGACTGGAGGAACATCTCTGTTGCTGATGCTGCGAACCGTGACGGCGCCATACCTCAATCAGACGAGCACCGCTCCTGCAGGGGGGGGGGGGGGGGCGCGCCGACGCTGCTCCGTCTACCACGCAGGGGCCGTGTTCGCCAGTCGCCTCATTCGCCTGTGGAGCAAACGGGAAGAGAGCGTCAACAATGTGATGAGAAAGGCACCAAAGTAACTCAGTTAATCGATGAATAGAAAAATAATCAATCAATGTTATACTATATTCAATTAATTGTTTCTGTTAAATTTCAAGTTAAAATGACAAACTGCTGCTTTTCTTTGTCATTTATCAAAACAAGATGTCTGACAGCGCGTTGGGCTGCAGAAAGATTATTCACTCTTTTTGTACATTTTATCGAATAACATGTCATGGATTAATCAATAATCAATATATATGTATATTCATCGTGATAATAATCATTAGCTTCAGCCCTAATTGTGATTATTTTCATTCTTGATTAAGAGAATATTTGCCGTTGTTTCATCAGTTTTACAGATAATTTTTGTCCATCGACTAATTGATTTACTTCTGTATCAAATCTTTATCTAATCTGATAAAAAAGCCTGATTGAATTAAAATAATGCATCTTCAAGAGAAACCAGGCCGAGAGCCGACAGCATAAAACCCAAGCCGACACTCACCTTGTGTTTCTGTCCTGGTCTCTGATCTTCTTCTCCATCTCTGCGTCTGTCAGCGTCTCCAGCAGGGGGCACCACTGGTCAGCGTCGCCTGTGTTTCTGATGGCTATCTCCACCGTGGGGAGGGGGTTCTCACTGAAAACAGACAACACAACAAGACACACACACTTCAGTCTGATGCGGGACGTCGTCACGCTGCAGCTCAGAAGTTTAGATTTTTCTTTTTTCATGTGACTCGGATCAGAAGTTTTCTACACGGTGTGAAACATGGCGTCACTTTTTCCCCCGATTCCTCGATGAAGCGAATCCTGAAACACGCAAACCGTACCTGAAGCTTCAGAGACAAACACCTGACTCTGTTATAACGACAGATTTCAACATGTGACTAAAACATTTATCCTATTCCTCAAGGCCACGGACGTCCAGCTGTGACAGAGATCATGTCTGGGTTTCGAAATGTCGTTACTTCAACGTGACTGTCGGCTACATTTCACCCAAAGAGCCGGAACGACGACAGACTTCAGCATCCCAACAAGACGCCAACAGAAGATGGGTGAAAGGTCACATCACCGTGGCAACTACACACACACACACACACAACAGCAACAACAGGACAGACATTTCCACACTTCTTTTTTCTGCAACTCCCTCAATATTTCAAAACAAGGAAATGATCCAACTCATTTGTCAGACTTGTGCAGGAGGTGAGGCTCCGCCCTCTGTTCAGGATAGAGATATTAGACTGTAACACCTTTGTAACGGTCATCAATAACTGGTTAAAATATCAGAAAAATTCTTTCTAAATAGAAAATAATGGTTCATAACACACTGTAATGCAGCTGTCAGCAGACATAAGTCTTTATTTACATATTTATCCTCTTTAACTCCTCCGGTAAAATATTTCCTTTTCTTTCTTACTGTGACCACTGTGGCAGACACTTACAATAAGTGTTCAACCAACGAAGGAGCAAGAGCTAGATATCATCCAAAAATCCCTTTAATGACAATGTTTTCTGGCATTAAGGCATTAAAGAGCAGCAGAGGATGATGGGAGACACAGACAGTGGATGACAACAAACCACTGCACTTTGTTCTGTAAACGGATTATATCTGCTACCAGACAAATCTAATAATGTTTCCTCTCCAGGATCCTGTGTGTGTGTGTGTGTGTGTGTGTGTGTGTGTGTGTGTGTGTGTGTGTGTGTGTGTGTGTGTGTGTGTGTGTGTGTGTGTGTGAGACGGTACCTGAAGGCGTACGTCCTCTGGTGCCAGCTCAGCTGACCGCGGATGCTGTAGGCGATGGTGGTGACGAACTCCCCCCCCAGGCCGAGCTCAGAGCAGAGCTTCAGAGCAAACTTCTCTGGGGAGTTCTCCCTCTCGGACATGTCCCACTCAAACTGGTCCACCAGAGAGATGTTCCCCACGTGGATGTTCAACTGCAACATGAAACGTTTAAGAAAAAGACGGTTGATGACGCGCCTGAATTACAAGTGTTACTCAGCATCACATTAACGATGAGCTACTGGCAGAGTGGAGCGGCACCTTGATGATGACCCTCTGGTCCGTCTGGTCCTCCAGGATACTGTCTGTCGGATACGACTCGATCTGCTGTCGGATGGCGGAGGCGATGGCGGGGACGAAGGCCAGCGGGTTGAGGTCCAGGTCGTCGCACAGGATCTCAGCGAACATCTCAGGCGTCATGAGCTTCTCTGAAAACACCCAAACATGGACGAAATGAGCTGTTGGCGCTCTTTTCACTTTCACGTAGCCTGTGTTTTTCTGCACGCAAGAGGAAACGATGACGCGATGTTACCGTTCATGTTCCAGGTGAAAGCATCTCTGAGCTTCTGCCCCTCGATCTCCATGTCCAGACGGATTGGAACCAGGACTTCAGACTGAGTGGCGTTCTCGTGGATCACTGCTGGATCGTGGTCGTCAAAGCTGGGCGGGAAGGAGACAGGACAAAAACTTACCAACACAGAGTATGTGAATTTGTACAATGCTTGTACTGTGTTCTTTAAAAAAAGTCTATTAAATGTTGATTTAATCTGTTCTACAGGTAAAAAAAAGGCGACTTCACTCTGAAAATTGTGCTTAGTGGGTTAAGATCAGGTTATCTTACTTATGTCTGTGTTGTTATATCGTGCACAGAGAGATGTGATGCAACAAAGATACACGAAGGAGTAGAACTTAATACCAGACAGCTGCAATCTGAATAATTATCATTGTCTGCTACAGCTGGAAAATAACAAGATGTTTATTTTACACCTCACACCTTTTATAACAGCATCTGTTTTCATCTATTCTAGTGACTTTAATACCAGATAAAATAAAGCATTTCATCACAGTGACGCAAAAATCCTATAAATCCACTAATCCTGATCATTGAGTTCCAACATCCATGATCACCTGATATAACCAGAGGTAATAAAAGGAGCTACTTCGTTAGAAATGACGAGGTAAAACTTCTACTGGCTGACATCACTACATCCTGAGCTGACTCCCGGAGCTCACCACAGTGGGAAGGTCCTCTTCTTGTCGCGGCCCAGTCGGCTGCGGTTGATGGTGGTGGAGCAGGGCACCGCGTCCAGGTGGTGCGAGCTGTTGGGCAGCGTGGGAACCCACTGACTGTTCCTCTTCGCCTTCTGTTCCCTGGTGACAAACCGAGACGTGATGACGTGTGAAAATCAGACAGAATGTATCTGCACTTTCTCCCACTTCAAACTGTCACACTGACGACATCGATGATCGATCGCATCGCCGCAGACCTCAAGAGTTTTAGCTGTAACACAGTTATTACTACAGGAACTTTGATTTTCAATCAGCCAAGAATTTTCCAGCGCTTTTCTTTATTTCTTTTGTTTAAAGTCTATCTAGAACACCTCAAAAAATAAATTAAATAAATTAAAATTTTAAATAAATAATTTTAAATAACAAAATGAAAAAAGCCATGGGTTGGACATATTAAAAATCCTGCAAATACTGGTTATATGAGTCTAATATAATATAAGAAAAAAGCCAATTTCTGTACACACTGTCAGATAAAACGCCTGAAACCACAGTTCAAACTCAGGTCTGGTTATTTTTCCCGCTCTTTTAGGAAAGCTACATTTCCTGGGGAATATCTCATACAGATAAATCATCAACATTTCAGTTACTTCACAGACAAATAAGAGTCCTGTCTGAATCTGGTTTTTACCTGAGGTAGGCGGGGGGCTCAGTGCTGATGGAGACCGCCTTGTACTTCTCATCGTTTCCTTCGAGGATCTCCTCGACCTCTGAGGCCTTCAGCAGGGTCACACTGGTGGCCAGCTGAGTGTAGCCATGATCTGCATGAGAAGAGAGAGGAGTCACATCAACACAACAACAACAACAACATCATCATCATCTGACTGACAGGATTTAGCGAGCCTGCCTTTAAAATGATCATCAGAGTGGAAAACCTTGAATCCTTATCAGATTTTTTTTACTGTTACAAAATGTTCCATATTTTTTAATGTTATTTTTATTATTATTTTATTGTTTTACAAAATAGCCCGAACACAAGGTGCATCTGTAGAAAGTCTTATAGAATAAGCTGATAATAGACTGTCAAACTGCAAAGCAAAATAATTCATTTAAGCACAGGAAGATCTAATTATTATCATTATTATTGTTCAATAAAATATAATAATAATGTCTCTGATGGAAAAAAAATGAACAGTGACTTTAGTCTATTTTGAATAAGGAAGAATCCTCTCATATCAGAGGAAACAGTTAATGATGAGGATTCAGAGCTGGGCATAACCCCACCCAGCTGTAGACGTGGCAGCACTGCTCTCTACTGACCGTGTGACGACTCCACTATTTTCTTCCGTTCTTCTACTGATGCCAGTTTCCTCCATAATGACGGGTATCTTTTATACAGGGAGCCTCTGAACATACGGAGGTAGTTTCCCACCTGAACACAAACACACACACACACAAACACACAAACATGAAGGCAGATCACTTGAACCGTTATTAAAGATTCTTGATGAGAATCGATTCATTCTTCCTCTTTGCTGGTTCCAGTTCACAGACCAAGAAAATGATGTATTAATCCTGAAAATAATGAATCAATTTTGATAATAAACACAGAAGGACTGGACAATAAAATCTATAGAAGAATCTCTCATTTCCCTTTATTTCGTCATTGTTGACATTTTATCGGTGGTAAATGGCTACCTATGTGTGTGTGTCTGTGAGCTCTTTAGCTAATGATAACGTATCAGATTATCAATAGAAAATATAGTCCACAAATAAATGTTGATGTATTATTATACAGGACATACAGGACTGTGCAGAGATTGTAGAGAGTTCAGATGTTTACAATCTTATAACATCAGGAGGTGTCTGATTGAGAGCCACAAACCAGGGCTAAGACTTTGGTAAAACACCGGTTTATATCTTCAACTAATGATAATTAATCCTTTGTTTTAGTCACATTTTAAGCAGAAAATCCAAATATTTGCTGGTTCCAGCTCCTTAAATGTAAGAATTTGATCTATATCTTTGAGTTTTGGGCTGATAGTTAAACAGAAAACAACATATGAAGAAGTGATCCTAGACTGTGGTAAATTACAACAGGCATTTTGTTAGGAAAATACTGAAAATAATCGTTAGCTGCAACCCTCCATCGGTTTATGTGATAACTAACATATGCGATTAGTATGAGAGGAGCTATATTCAAGTGACAAGATTCAGTTGATTTCAATTAGTGTGAGATTTGACTTGATTAAAGTATGAAATTAACAAAGCCGCTATGTTGTGATTAGCGCTGGCTAAACCCCGTTAGCTACTTGGCTAAATGATAGTTAGCTCCGGCGGAGAACACCCGGTGAACCTCTGAGGAAAGCCGAACGTTCTTCAGGTCAAACTTTATCCGGTAACACAAGCATATAGATTAGTCAGTTTAATTCTGGTGAATATACGCAGTTACATTCCCTAAAAAACAAATATAAATGAATGAGTCTTCGTGCGCTGCTCTCCCTCTCTGTTAGCATCCTTAGCTAGCTGCTAGCGGACCGGCTGCAAGGACAAAACCTACACATTTCTGCCCAGATAATCAAACCAGTAAAGCAGCGCTTTGTTAAAGAGATGAAATACAAACCTCTGAACCGATCATGTAAAAGTCCCCATCCTCTTCGAGCTGAAATTTGACCGGTTTTTGTCCAAACGTCTTGCTAAGCGCCATACTGACATCCAACAACAAAGCTCCGTGCCAATGCGCAGGCGCGAATTTTAAGAACGTCCTGTCGCTGGAAAATGACGTTACAATAAAGTGTCTTCAGAGACAGTTGAGAAAGAGACTCTTTGGTATCATTAAACCTGTCAATCAGCAAATTAATCAATAAAAATTATTAAAGTATCAGTAAAATAAAGACCCTCAACTTAAAAATTATAATGTAACTTTGCAACTCCCTATTGAAACATCCAGTGGAAATAACTAAGTTCATTTACTGAAATGCAAATTACTTGTGCTTTAAATTTCTTTGTTACACTTGATACTTCTACTCCACTAAATTCCAATGGGAAATCTTCTACTTTTACTGACGTACATTTACCTGAAAGCTTTAGTTGTTTTTCAGATAAATTTTAAACAGAAACTTGAGTTTCTAAAATGATGTTTTGTTAAGGGTGAAACTTTGGATACTTGAAGTACTTTTTGTTGCTCAAACATTCACTGAAGGACCATTGTTACTGCCAGTAACTGAGTTTTTAAACGGTGTGGTGTTGCTACTTATACTTAAGTGAAAGATCTTAATATTTCTTGTACCACTGTGATCCTCAATGATAACACACATTCATTACAAAACATCTTTTATTATTATTTTAGCTTGTTTGAGCTTCTGTTGACCAAACTACTTCAGTAACAAAACCAAACAAATTCTTACTGGAGAGCAACATAATCTCATGTTCATCTAAATCAATAAACAAACGCAGAGATGCAGCAGGAGGTAAAAATTCTTAAAAGAAGAGAAAAGAGTCTTTGTACTTTTATAAACTTAATGTTTATTCGTATATACATGAATATATTAATCTATAACCAAGAAAGGAGAGAATGTACAATGCAAAACAAAATCTCTATATACAAATCAATAAATAAACAAAGACATAATCAAGGACAGTTTTGTTTTCTACATGGGTTTGTGTTCTTGGGAAAGGTAGGAAAAGTAAATCAAAGAGGAGATCGCAGTTAGAAAAAGTTCTGATATCCTTTGTTAAAATGGAAAATGGCACCCGAGCACAGTTCAGGGGAACAAAACAAAAAAAATTAAGAATAAAACACACACACCACGCCAGCTGACTTCCAGTTTTTAGATTTTTTTTTCTTGTAAACGCAGCCTTTTTTTTTTTTTGTTCAAACTCGCACAGAATCAGGTCAAATCACAAAAGGTACGTCATTTCAACACGAGTCTACAACGACACACAGACCAGTCCAACATCAACCTCATCAGCACAGAGACGCTCGCAGGCTCATGAATTCATTTAAAGTTCCACTCGCGTGCACATCCATCCTACGTTCTCAAACCTGACAGAGAAAACCAGCACACTTCAGTGAGAGATGGAGCTGCTGCAGAAACCCCAGAGTAACTGTTCACAGCAGGAAACCCCGAGTCTCCGGTTAATATGTTCTTTTTTTAAATTATAACGCCAAAGAATCATAAAGTTTTTGTTCCAAACAAACACCACAGAGAAGAAACTGATGCTGCGTTCAAGTTATGTTGGGAAAAGTCTGTTGATATTCTATTTTTATTATTGTCAGCAAACCTCATGTAAAGTATTGTGTCTCTTTGCATCTTTTAGTGGCTGTTTTGTGTCTATTTTTACTCATTTGTCAGCGGTTTGTCGTCATTTAATCGATTTTCCCAGAAGTCACTTCATACAGAGACTCTGGTTCAGGGGCCCATTGGAACCCTTTGGCCCCTTTATCTGTGCCTACCACATGTGGATTAATACGCCACCGAAAATAGTCCCCAAATGAACTGAAAATGAACTATTCCCTCCTGTTTGAGTAGCTTGCTAAAAACTACATTGTTCAGCTGTTGAAGGAAATTTATGACAATTAAAAAATAATGTAACTATATATTTTCAAAGTGCTTTTTTAAAGATTTACATCTTCAATGGAACCAGGGAAGTTAGAGAAAGTTAGAGTCTCTAAGTGTCGAGAGACGGACGAGCACATAGTTGGTTTGTGTCTTTTCTCAGGATTTGTTGACAATACGGAAAATAAAGAATAACACCAGGTTAGGTCCTTTAAGAAAATCTGTACGGCTCAGTTCTCGCCCATAATCTATAGTCAATTTGTGTCATCAAGCAGTCACCGTGCTGCATTCAAGGTCCATCTGCTATAAAAGAAAGGAGGAGGAACTCTTATATTCCACTTACTGTGTCTAAGTACATTTAACAGAGAAAAAATAATTTCTCTACATTTTTTTGATGAAAGTTTGTGTCCCTTGTTGGGCGTTCACCAGAGATATAGTGGTTTTTAAAAGGTTTTTAAAGGGTTTTCATCCCTGAAACATCAACAAAGGGAGCAAAAATATATCTGGTGTTAAATGTTGAGCACCAGTTGAAGGAAACAAAGTTGTTACACATTATCAGGATCAAAAACTCACTGTCAATCACTTGTATTCACTCTATTAACAGCATTTCATGACTGAAACTTGGTTAATAAAGTCACTTTCAAGTGGTTTCCTTCATATAATTCAACCAGAAATTTGCTGCTACATGTTTCTGTCAGTGAACGTCTCTCGGATGTGGAGTTTGTTTGGAATAAAAACCTGGTTTTAAAGGGCAGAGACGCTCCAGCTGTTTGATCCTCACAGACATATAAACATGAAAAAATAGGATTTAGATTCATGAGAGTGGAGTTTCTACAACAGCTTCACCTGCAGCTCCAGACAAACATCTTCAAGTCTAATTCTCCACAGGGAACTGGGTCCAGAGGATTTTTTTCATAGTGTTCTGATGTTTTTTAGTTTTCCAGAAAAATGCGACAACAGTAAACATACAAACGTGTTTTTTTCCCCACTGTGAAAGGCAGAGGACTCATCTGTGAACAGAAACCTTTTCCTCTCTTTCCTTGTTATTTTTGGCACATGGAGGATCAAGCCTGATGCCTTCGCTGCTCGCCAACAAGATGAGCGAAGGGCGGACGTTCACTACGACACCGTTAAGGGGGAACGAGACATCTTTTTTTTTTTTTTTTTTTTTTTTCAGTTCACAGTGCTCGACATGACGCGCCGATCAACAGGCGGAGAGGGCAGAGTGAAAAGGTCGAAGGTCACAGTGTTCAACAGCGAAGGATTTCACGCCACAACATCCACGACAGCCGGACGACGTGCTCCTGCCGCTCATCACCATATTGCTTTTTTTTTTTTTTTTCCTTTTCTTTTTTTGGGCACTTCATTCATTTGATCGTTAAGAGGATTATGAAAATTATGAACTTCATGCAGGTGAAAATAACTAAATAAGAAAAGGCAGTACATGGTCGCAGTGCAATCCAGGCTCATTTAGTGTTTGTTGCTGTGATATGAACAACTCATCAGGAAAAATCCAACCTCACATATTCAATCATAACCAGTGTTTTTTTTTTGTTTTTTGTTGTGAATCCCACTTTTCCCTGAATTAGTAATTTCCTACATTTCCCAGAATGCTATGCGACAGCAGAAAGGGTGTGAAAATTTCCCTGTTGATCAAATTGACTGGTCGCTCAACCCCGCCCCCTGCTGGACACAGCAGTTCAAGCTCTGGATTAGCATGGTTAGCATTATTAGCATTATTAGCATGACACAGGTGCTCTGTCTTTTTTCACCCTTTCCAAAAGCAACAAGGATTGAACTGTGTGTTTATCTGGTCCAATGTTAAACTTATACTTGTAATAATATGAGTTACTTTTCAATACAAGAACAATCCTGTTTCTCTGTTTCCATTTTCTCAAGAACGAGGCACCAGAACAACCTGCTGTAATTTCTTTTCTCTCACACTAATTAGTTTCATCTTGTTATTATAAAATCCGTAATTTGACTTTCGGAAAGTGCTTTACAAATAAAGATTATTGTAATTATCATAAAATCAACTCTTGTCTACTTTCGTCTGAAATGAAGGACTCGTTCTGTCAGAAAGGATTTCGATGGTGAATCTTTAGCTTTGAAACTGTACATGTGTCTGAGCCGGACAGAGGCAGCAAACAAACAGGGTTGGGGTTTAACTTGCAGGAGAAACTGTGCACAATCCAGAAAAGAAGCCCTTTAACAACGACTGCTGTGTAGTAGCTGTTAGAAATATCTCAACGATGCAACATTAACGAAATATGAACCCCAGAACTGCTTTGTTTAAGAGTGATAAGATGTTTTTAGGTTGGATTTTTCCTTTAAAAGAAACAGCTGGAGGACAGCACACAGACAAGAAAGAAGAGTTTGTTCCCTCATGTGCAGTTTGGCAGCGTCGTTATCCTTCATTCGGGCTCCTACGCACAGTCTCATTCAAACTGTTCCAGCTCTGGAAACCATCAAACGCCATCGTTTCCACTCCGACTGCGAGTTAGAGCCCACACAGGAAGAGACTTTGCTGCCATCAGCGACACGTTAACCACAGAAAAACATCCTGCGGGATAAATCAGCAGGACTCGTCTGGTGCGTCCGAGACACACAGGCCCGTCATGGCACATTTGGAGAGTGGTTACTAATGAATATGAAGAATGAGCCGCCGTGTTGGAAAGAACAAAGACCCACAGTTTATCACCTCTGCCCGTTCAGTGGTACGGTCCAGGGTTAAACCAAAAATATCAGTTTGCTGTTAGAGAACATTTTGAATATTGTTCTTTTATCCTCAGTGACCACAGACAGAGAGAAACCACAATATCATGGTTTTTATGTCGCTGATGTTTTTATCTTTATTCCTTAAGAACTGTCTGTTGTGTCCCAGAGTTTCTCTAGTGCAGCTCTAGATCATTATTATTATTATTATCATCATTATTATTATTATTATTATCATCATCCTATAAAATAATGAATCTGAAAACACACTACTGAGTGGGTGCAGTAGGCCAGCCTTCACTGCTGCTAACACTAAAATAAAAAGTCTGATTTTAGCGTCTCAGATGTTCAAAATGTCACAGAGGTTTCCTCAAAACAATAAATGTTTAATGAATAATATAAAACTTTATCTTATTTGCAATTATTACGGTCAAATTCAATTATATTAAATGTTTTTGATCGAAATCTATTTTCAGGTGGAAGCCTATTCCTGCCAGACAATCGATCCACAAATATTTAGATAATTATTAATCATGGTTTGGATAATAATTTCATTTAAGATTCTCAAATGTTACATTTCCTGCTTTTTCTTTGAACACATTAACTTGAGCTTTAGAAAAATAACAGGCATTTTTCGCTCTTACCACTATTAAAATAATCAATAGTAAAAGTTGCTCTCTGCAGCCCAAGTAATGGCAATTCAAAATTATATGATACAAAGTCAAATTATTTACTTGATATAATTTTGACTTTGTGTCTCATAATTTGGATTTTACATTTTGCATTTTGAAATTCTCCTGTCAGAAACAACAGAGAAGAAAGAGGAAAGTATGTCATGTAGTAAATGTTTGAATCTTTGCAGTCTTCCATTATCAAAATACTTTCCTGTTGATCCACTGTTGAATCAACTAACTATTAGTATTTTTTATAATTATTTTTTTGACCCGTTGCATCTACTTTTTCTCTTCCCGTCATAAATGTTTTGTCTGTTTGAAAACTGAAGAACTTTCTGAGGACAGCAAAGGCGGTGAGTTATGTTTCCGATGTTTCTTCCAACATGGCGGCCGGTGGACAGGAAGTAGAGAGCAGTGACGTGCAGCTCGTACGACCTCTTCAGAAAGATAATTAGCAGCACCATATCAGAGCAGAGAGATGCAGAAAAAAAAAAAAAAAAATGTACAAAGCAAAGTGGAAAAAAAAAGTGTTGATATCGCGATAAGTCTATTAACAAAATCTCATGGTCCATCTCAAAGGAACGTACTGCACAGTCGGTGTTAATGATATATACACTCAGTTTTTGTTTTGTTTTGTTTTCAGCTCGTTTGTTCTCCACTAACAAACTGTCCCAGTCAAGTGCGACCACAGGACGACCACCTCCTTCACGGTGTAGTGGTTACCATTCATAACAAAAAGAAAAGAAAATAGTGGCATATGATTCATGGCTGTGCCCACAGGACCGGATTTTGACACCATGTCTCCATTTTGACTTGACCTTTTGTTTTGTTTTTTTTTGTTTTTTTGTAACATGGCAGCGTTCAGAAGTTAAAAGAGTTCAGATTCCTCCACGTCAGTGTCGCTGGTGTTAAAATGCCGACATGAGTCCCAGCGTCCGAGAGCGGAGAGAGAGCCGAACGTTCAGAGCCGCGGTCCCAGGGGACGCTGTCGACATCAGGAGCCCTGGGGGCGAGACGGTAAAGGCGGCGGCACAGTCACGACAAAAGTTCCCTGAAAAAATAGAAACACATTCGAACGCCCAGCTGATTGCTGCGGCTTCGTATTGTTCACTTATGTACACTCCATGCCAGGAGGGGGCGTGCGAGACGACTGCAGAGGGATGGCGGCTGCTGAGGGGTTTAAAAAAAGTGTTTCATCGAAGGTGCAAAACTCCTCCCGTGAGCAAGAGGACTGAGGGAAATGTTTGTAAGATCTGACCAGCTGATGTTCAAATGTAAACAAATGTAAACAAAAAGTAATGGACCAGGAAATGAAATGGATCTGCTTCTCCACACTCGACACGACCAGTCACGTGACGCCGGTGAGAGAGTTCGACTGGTTCAGCCACTGAGCAGCAGCGCACGTCCCCGACGCGGCTGCTTGTTTTCCCCACCTGCGTGTCCCTCTGCTTCCAGGAACCTGCAGCCGAACAGAAACAGCTTCTACGTGGGCGTTTCCTGCGACGGACTCGGCCTCAGCTGTTGCTAAGTGCTAAGATGCTCCTCCGCTTCCTGCTGATCCACAGGAAAGCTGCTTGGTCGTTTTCTCCTCTGGCATCTCAAGTCTTTGTCCAAAACCAAAACTCAGATACTTCAGGTTAAGTTTCCCTCCAACAGACGCGAACAGAAATGTTTCCTCTGAGGAGCGGAGGCCTGAGAGGGTTGAGGGGGTGGAGGGGGAGGCAGGAGGCGGCGCATTTCTCTCCTCAGAAGATCCCTTTCGCAATTTTCAGTCCCTTCTGTTTCATGCGAGGCAGCGTCGAACTGGCCACGTTCTTGGCCCGCACCGGCCGCGCCAAGCCGCGCTTCTTCAGCACAAAGTCGTAGTTGGCAGTGGAGTTCATGGCGTAGAAGACGTTGGCGTTGTCCGGGATCCGCAACTCTGCAGAACCAGACGACAGAGAAGAAGAAACATCACAGTCAGTCAATCAATCAATCAATCAATCAGACTCATTTATACAGCACTTTTCATACAAACAATGCAACACAAAGTGCTTTACAGAATAAAAGCAATAAAACACACACACACATACGTTTACATACAGAACAATAAATGACCAAGTAATAAATAAAAACAATAGAAATTAGACAATAACAACTTGGTAACGAGATAACGATAGCGTGATAAAGATAAAATAATAAAACACTGAATCAGCGGAGATGTATCAAAGCTGAAGTAAAATAAACAACTATAAATAAAAGTAGGGGATTAAAATTAAAATAATCCAGAAAATAATCGTAGAATCAAAGGACAAACTGGATAAAACAGCTTAAAATAAATAAACAAATAGAAAGATAAATTTAAAAAATTCAATTCAATTCAATAAAAAGCCAGAATAAAAAGTCTGAAGCACAATCCAAACCCGAGACACTAAATCATCGGGAGCTTGTTTTTAGTGTTTACCTTTGTCCTCAGAGATTTTCTGCATCAGCTCGTACTCCTCCGTCTTCTCTCTCTCCAGGTTGTGTTTGATCATGGCCTTCCTGATGACGGCGGGAGTCTTGTCTTGACTCGTCACCTGCATCAAGGGACAAAACGATAAAAGCTCTTGTTGAAATATGAGTAAAAAGACATTTTTAATGTATTTAAAAGCCATTAAAACTACATCTATTCCTCACTATTCCTATTTAATGTTCATGAATGATTCAATTTTCTTTATTGAAACAAAGCAAAATGGAAAAAAATAAACATTTCATGGAAATTACAACAGAAAAACAGAAAAAAACACAATCACAAACAACCACTTCTGATTCATCCCATTAGAGAATCATCACTACAGTATTTCCTCACCAGGATGCTCTTGTACATGTTGCCGTTCTCCACGTCCAGGCTGACCCTGATGATGCAGCAGTCGTCCACCTGCTGGTTGTACAGCGGCAGCGACAGGGTGGAGTAGTTCGACACCGCCGACACCGAGCGTTTGTGCGAGCGGGAGGCCGACAGCGGCGTGGAGGAGGAGACGGAGGAGGACGAGGCGCTGCTGGAGCCGGAGGCCGAGCCGGAGCTGGAGCCCGTCCCGGACGTGTCCAGAGACGACAGAGACGTGCACTCCCAGAACTGAAGAGGACGGGGAGGAGAGAACATCAGCGTTTTCACAGGAGGCTGACGTCATAGGAATATCATTACTTCATTAATTAAAGATGCTCTCTACTAATTCTACATATGAAGACGAGCTGACGCGTCGTGACTCAGACGCTGAAAACAGTCATAACGTCTGATGTCCAACACAGAACCTGCTTCAGAAACTGGGGCCGTGGAGTTTGAAAAAAGTAGCTTTTCACCAACAAGGAGATGCTACCAAGTTGCATGATGGGAAATGTAGGATCCAGTGTTTTTGTAACTTGAGCCATACTGGGGACTAAAAGTCAGGAGTTTTTCAGGAGTCACATTCTTTATTTAATCTGTATTTTACACATCTGCTGTTTTAATCTCTGCAGAATTGTTCTACTGATTATTATTTAGCCTCTGAACCCTGAAGGTGGCGGCTTCAAATGTCACCAAAGAAGATCAATTTACGACTAATTCTCACATTTCAGAAGCTGCAAACAAACAATGTTTTGCATTTTTTCTTAATAAATTTGATCAAAACCGTGTAATTTAATTTTCTGTCAGTGAACTAATCGTTTAATTGACTAATCCTGTCATATGTTACGTTTTGCTTTGTTAGCTTATTGGCTTGCTAACACGACAGAGCTGCTCTTAGTGTGCTGGGGTAGGTGGAAATGTTGACCTGATGGTGGCACTACGTAACACACGAGTCAGTGGGATTCATCCTCCGGCACCTTGAATATCTATAACATTTCACAGAAATCTAATGGTTGTGGAGACATTTCAGCCCGGAGGCAGAGTGACGGAGGTATAAAGCACCGCAGAGCAAATAGAAATATAGTTAAATATGGACAGCGTGTTGTAATAATGTCATATATAAACAAACCTAATCAAGTTTCAAGGATAAAAATGGAAATAAAAACGTAAAACAAATTACTGTTGACGTTGTATCTGCCGCTGGAGCTTCTCTCCCCAAAGCAGAGACGGTGAGTTTCACTGAAGGAGTCGACGTCTGGAGAAAAACAAAAACAGAGAGCATCAGCAAACGGCCGCAGAGGAGGAGACGACCCACAGAAGAAGCTAAATTTAACTGTACAGGTCACCGGTGGCGTCTCTCGTCCTTACCTTTCTCTCGTGTCCTTCGGGGGAGTCAGACAGGAAGCTGGCGTTCACGTCCTCCAGGTCTGAACCGCTGGAGCTGACGGAGGTGACGCTGAGAGCGTCGCCGCTGTCCCCCCCGCCTCCTTGGTACGGTCTGTAGTGCGAGTGGTCGAAGGACTTGGAATGGGAGCCCGCGGCGCCGCTGGAGCCCGCCTCCGTCAACTGCCGGCTGGACGGAATAACAAAGAAGGGAAGAGTCAGATTTCACTTATTTGTCTGAATGTGATGATTATAATGTGACTTCACGGCTCAGGTTTCATCACTGTCACTTACTCGCTCCAGCGTTTCATGATGCCTCCGTTCTTCTTGGCCCTGAGCGTGTTGCTGGCCGACTCTGACAGAGGCTCGATCTCACAGGACAGGTTGTAGCTGCGGGAACAGGAAGTCAGGATGATGACTGTGTTAATTTGAACTCATCTCACAGGATAAAGACAGGACGGCCTTGGTATTTAAAAAAAAAAAAAAGCCATCCTGTCGATGAAGTGCCCAGAAATCCTGCGGTGACGTGTCAGTGAACTCAACACAAGGCTGTGTGCCGTGACGAGATGATGACAGAGGTGAGTCCAGATCTTTCCGCACACTGAACCTGACACATCCTGACAGGCTGAGGCTCGTAGAGCTGCACCTCAAGGTGACACCGGTCTCACATTAGCCCCAACGCAGGGCCGTCGTTACAGTTTGTACAGAGCAGATAACACTTTATGTTTACTGCTCAATTCTGAGTCATGTTGTCTGACACTTCAACAACCTACAGTTCTACTGAACCTGTAAACATATCACACACACACACACACACACACACACCATCTCTGTTTATATTCCCAATGTAAAGACATTTCCATTTTGTCTCCTTTTATTTTAATATTAATGCAATGTTATTATTATTATTATTATTAGTTTTCTTATTGCATCGGTATCTGCTCATCCTGAATATAAGCTGCTGGAACACTCAAATTTTCCTTTGGGATTAATTAACTGTAATTAATCAAGTCTATAGAAATTCATTTCAACACTCAGGTTCTGCCCTAATTCAGTCATTCATTCATCTCCCACTACACAGTCTGAACATCTTCCTTTATCTTCCAGGGACGTGGATCAGTTTTCATTCAGACACAGAGCAGCTGTTTGCAGAAATCTAGACTTACAAACTGATCATCATCCATCCCCCGCCCTCACAGTCAGAGGTGTAACAACAGCAGGGCCCCTGAATAACAAGGCGGTCTGCTTCACTGACCTCTCTGCCTCGCTGAGCTTCTCCACGCCTGCGAACCACTCTCTGAAGTGGCTGTCCTGAGTGAAACTGTAGTTGTTGGAGGCGAGCTGGAGCAGTTTGATCTGAGCGATCACCTCAAACTCCTGCAGACACACAGCACAGCAGCAAACAGGTTAGAAAAGGAGTCAGTGCTTCAGCCTTTAATTTGCCCGGTTTGTTTATTTTTGTCTGTTCTGAGCTGAAGATGATTTGATTTGGATTATTACCTTTCTTCTCTTCTCAAAGTTGATGAGACCACCCTGCAGAAGAGACAAGAACGTGAGCAACTGATAGAAAAACAAGCCAAAAGGAAAAAAGGTATCACAGCATCAGCTCATGCCACACAGCAGTCTGACCTCAGTGTAATCCTTCATGGCAGTGTCCATCATCACCAGGTCGGTCAGAAAGGTCCCCAGGTAGGGAATAGTCCCCTGCATCACTCCCTGTTCACAGAGGGGAAACCAGTGGAGGTAAACATGGAGGCCGAGCGGGAAGATAACCCTCCACAGATTCTTCTTAAACGTGGAGCAACGAGAAAACGAACTCCACAGAATTACTGGAGAGACTAGAGGCAATATTTCCCCTTAAAACTTTTGATGAATATAAAATAAAAACTATTCACTTCCAAAACAGACAAACATTGTGTTAAATCTATGAATTGAACCAATTGCAGTGACTTCACTTGCCACCAGATGGAGCTGTTGGTCCAAAATTGATGTTTATTGTTCTCAGCACAAACCACTGACAGACAAACATTTCATTTCTTTTATTTTACTGTTTATTTGTGCTGTTTCCGTGCTGTGGACTCACCAGGTCTCTCTGCTGCTGGTGTCTCCTCTGAGCTCGTTTGGGGTTGATTTCCAAAGTTGCGAACTTGGACGTTCCCTCCTGAGGAGCAGAAACAAGACGGTCCATCAGTCCGACCGTGTTAAATACTCAAGAGAAACAAACTGCAACTCTTCAAATCCTAAATGCAAAAGTTTCCCATAATTCACCTACAGGGCTTCATCACCTGCAAACATCCCAAACAGGAACAAGCAACCCTTTCGTTTACAGAGCTGATGTTTTCAAGCTATTATAATAGAAACTTTCCTCTTAATTTCCAAAGATGTAGCCGTTAATTACTAAGAGATTTCAAAGAAAGGCCGACTTCAGTTGGTACTAACTTCGTATATTTGGGTTTTTAAGAAAAAGCTAGGACGTAATAATGAAGTAGGTCTGTGAAAACACCTACAGATCCATCTGAGTGTGTGTTCTGGGTTTTGATTCTTCATGACTTTGAGCTCCCAGACATTATGGACCTGCCTGAAAATCTGAATATCAGTTTAACTGAAGTCTATGCTGCATGTTGATCTGTCGTGGAAACGTTATGTATGTCAGTGTGAACATGAAAACTAATGTGACCATATTTTCACGCTGACTTTTCTTCTAAACACTTTTTCTTTGTCGCTGAATTTCAGAGGGAAAAAAACCATCAGAGGAACAGTGGTGGGAGAAAATCCACCTCTTGAGTTCCTGCTCACATTCCTCAGAGTGACGTAACGCCGAGGGGCCTTCTGTAACCCGAGCCCACTGGAGCGGAGCGAACGCAGCCCGGTCTGAGCAGATAGAGCGAGAGAGCGGCGACGCCCCGAGGTGTTCGCTTACACCAGAGCCCGTTATCTACACCTGCCAGAGGTTCCCTCCCTGTGGAGTGACGTCAGCAGGGATTCCCTCAGAGGAAGCCCCGAGCACTCGCTCACCGTTACATCAGCGAACGCCTCGGGTTTATAAATAGGGGATAACACAGTCACCGTCTGCAGGCTTCATTAGGTCACACTGTAAAGATGTTTAGTGTCGACGTGTAAACACCTAACCTCAGTTTGAAAACAGCTTTTTACAGCTGATGATGATCTGGTTTGCTCAGATCAGATAACAGGCTAAATGTAATTTGTCTGTTCTGGGCTAATCCAGTCAATTATACCTGACAAATCAAGTTACTGCATCACAGTGATCATTATAAAGCAGTTTCCCAGCGCGGCCTAAAACAGGTTTCCACCGTCTGACACTGACGGCCGACTCCCCCTCAGAGAAACCCGCCGCCCCCACTCCTCCCCATCCACCCCCGATGTTAACGGACGGTCTGAGCCGTAGTTCTGTAAAAACACTGATAGTGAACCATGAATCATATAAATAGATACTGTAACTGCTGTTATCATTCGTTGTCTTACTTTGCCATAATCTGGGGATCCATTCATAATTCTTCCATGAAGTCAGTGAGTTACACTGTGGGGTACATTACATCTAAGCAAACGGGCACCATTTAAAGTACGCCCAATTAGCTACCAGCACTTCCTGTTTGCAGCGTGCCGACGGATGAACAGAAGACTATCACTGGATTAATGTGATACTGAAGAAAAGTGATGAGCGTGATGATTCCCAGGCAGCTGCTGGAGTGTCTTTCCTCTATGATTTCTAAGTGGATTTATGGATGTTCATTTGTAATGGACATAATAATAACGATATCCTTGGAAAGTGTAAGTCGCACTGAAGCTAAAAATATTTCTATCATGTCTGCTTGTTCAGATTTGACTGAGTTATGACTCAAAGAAGTTGTGATGTGATGTATTTTACGTGTTCAAGCCTTCTTAATAATAATATTTCATCAAGCTTTCTCTGTGTGTAAATGTCAGTTGTTATGACAACAGCAGAATATGGAAACATGTAGATTTGTCGTCTCATTTCCTGTTCAGTCATGTTTCCCTGCGTCCCCGTATCAAGCTGCAAAACACTCAGAAGGTGTCGACGCCTCTCTGCGTTGACCGCCATAAATCACATTAATGATCGCAACAGGTCTGTCAGCTGCAGCGAGCCCACCCAGGACACCGTCAGTAATATATGGACACTGTGATCCAAGAGAACACGGTACACTGTGTCCCGCACTGCCGGATGTTCCTCTGCAGCTGCTGCGAGACAGACATGAGGAAGTCCAGCGACGGGACGGGTCACAGAGCCCGCCGCCATCTGTTCAGCTGCCACATGCAGGCGTTACGTAACTCCTATAGATTCATCAGCTGTTTTATCGGATTAATAGAGTCTGATTAGAAGCAAACACATTTATTTTATTCCTCTAAAGGGAAGAAAAATACCTCTCCTCTCTTTGGCTCCTATTTCTCCCTCTGTCTTATTATCTAATCATCATTCAGCAGTCACAGAGAGACGTTTGTTATGTCGACCAGACTGAGACCACACACTCTTTTACTGTGTTATTCAGATTTTAAATCACTCTGGATAAAAGCATCAGCCAAATACCTCAAAACAAGCCTCACACCTGATCTGTGAAGACACAATACGAGCAGGAAACTTCAAATATTAAAGAAGTGCGTGGGTAAAACAGGCTTTAAATGAGTAGTTAATAATTTAATTCTTCTGTTCTTTTGGTCACTGTAAAAATAACAACACACGTGCTGCTTGTTGGAGATTTGTGTGTGCGCTGTTGAGCAGCTGTGACCCACCTTCACCAGCAGCTCTCGGCTGAGGGAGTAGTTGTTGTCGTCTGAGAAGATCTCTGACAGCTCGCGGAAAGTGCGGAAACTCTCCCTGTGAAAAAATAACAAAAACAAACAAAAAAACCTCTTTAGCCCGTTGTCCTAATGTGGTCAGTGCTCCTCACTGCAAACCAGATGACATGTACGGAGCCATTTTGTATTATCGAAGCAACGTGAAGTTTACTCTGACAACCCACCGTGACACTTCCTCCCAGGTCCTCTTCAGGCGGTGGATGGCGTTGCACTGCAGGGCGGAGAGGATGGCGCGCAACGAGGAGAAGTTCTTCAGGATCCGACACTCCTGAACACAACATGAGCGACGATCCGGTCAGATAAGAAACAAACTGCTTGATGCAGCGTGAATAAACCAAGCGTGAATAAAGTAGCGGGGACAGCGGTCGCTCACCCGGGCCACGTCTATCCACCTCTCCAGCAGCCGGGCTCTCTGGTTGGGCTTCAGCGTCGGGTTGCTCAGGCAGGTGGTGATGACACAGTTGGTGACGGAGTTGAACTGGGCCACGGTGGCTCTGATGGTGGGAGCCAGGTGCTCCTTCCCCTTCTTATCCCGCTGAGACCAGATACCCCCGAGGCAGTGGTAGGGCACCACCTTCTTAAACAGATCCTGAGGAACAGTATGAAGACGGGGTTTAAAAATATGAGTGAGACCATGTGATTCTACGGTTTCTGTTTGAAAGGGTCATTTCACACAGAGAGGTCAGTTTACTGGTGATTACGATAATAAAAGAAGAAGAAGGAGAAGATAAAAGATGTTGCCAAGTTGCATTATGGGAGATGAAGAATCCAGGTTTCGTCTTTGAAAACTCGGCTTTGTGCTGGAGTCAAAGAAACTTTCATTTCTGCATTAAAAATGTGGTTTTAATCTGATGCTAAAAAATCTGGAAAACAGTCACTTTGACAAAAAAGAAAAAAAAAAAATCACCTTGATGGATTCGCAATTTAAGGAAAATTGTTGTTTAAAAACCTGATATCTTCATTTAATAAGTTCAGTCAATAATTAATCAATAATTTTAGTCAATAAGAAACCAACTGGTTTTAGCTTCTGCAGTCCGGAGCTTCTCCTGGTTTAATGTGTGAACTGAACATCTTTGTGTTGAAGATGAAAAAAGACATTTGAAGATGTCACTTTAGGTTGTTTCACCATTTTCTGACATTTTATGGACTAAACAATTAATAAAAATTACAATGAGCAGATTAATCCAGAACCAAAATAACCATTAGCAAGAACCTAAAAGCCTTTCACTGATCTGAAGGTCAAACTGTCTGGGAATCTCTACAGATGAGTGACTGCGCAGGTGAACAGCGGCAGAAATCTGTTGATAGGGGGAAAAGGAAAACGTCCTCACCGCGTCCATGAGCGTGAACTGCTCCGCGACCATGATGGGGTCAAACGACAGGAAGCTAAAAGCAGGAAGTTCGTCCTCAAAGCCGCTCTCTTCCTGCGTAGCGAAAGGGCAGCCGATGTGTTCCCCTACAGAGATTTAAAAACAAAAAACCTTTTTCACAGCGCTGCCTCGACCTGAGCTCAACCTAAACACACAGTTCCTGCTCTGGAAACATCTCATCCTTTCTTTGACCTCGGCGTTCTCACCACTTGTACCGAACTGTTCTTTGCAAGTATCACAACATGTGACATTGTGTCTACGGCTACATGAAATGTGCTCAACAGGAAATGAAAAACATGGTACATCTTTACTAGTCTCTACTGGGACACGCCCCGCCCCCCGTCCCCCGTCCCTGAGTCCCTGCCCTGTTGTCCCTCTCCTGTCCTGCCTTCATACCATCAGGATCAGGCTCACACTGCTGTCGGCGGTGGAAGTGGGCCAGCAGGTTGCGGGCGCGGCGCTCCAGGTCCGAGCCGGGGAAGTGGAGGTGAAGGTAGGACAGGAGCTGGTGCAGACAGTCGTAGTTGGGGGGGCTCCAGAAGTCCTCAGAGTACTGGTCCAGCCACGCGCCCAGGATGGACGAAACAGTGCTGCAACACACACACACACACACACACACACACACACACACACACACACACACACACACACACACACACACACACACACAGGAAAAGGACAGAAATTAAAAGATGAAATGATATAAATAGTAAAATAAATATGACACCTGACACCTGTTGAGGAGTGAGGAACGATAAACTTATTATTAACTTAATTAAACTTGTTATTGCTGCTTCTAGAATCCTTATAAATCATATGAAAGTATGATGGAAGCCCAGAAGGGACAGGATGGCCTAGAATTACTGGAGTTTAAAGGTGTCAAATGTCTCCTGATGGACTATAACTGTATATACAAACGTTTATATCTACAGCAGACAAGAGAAAATATTTAGGATTTGTTCTAAATTAAATTCAAGAGGAAGAAACAATGTGTTTTAGGACTTTAGGACTTCACAGCAGCAGCTCTCTGTCGTTAAAGCAGAGCTGCTCGTCTATAAATCTCTCAGCGACTCAGGACCAAAATACGTCTGTGACCGTGTTGGACCATCTGAACTTTCTGCTGCTCACTGTTCCCACAGTGTAAACTAAACACGGAGAAGTAGCATAGTGTTATTACAAGTATTATTATAGAGCAGTTCAAGGTTAGAGAAAACTTTACTTCACTGTTTATACTCACAAACACAACAGGAAATGTAAGAAATGACACATAATACAGTTTATTTACATGTAAAGTGACTTTATATCATAATAATTAACTGAAAATATTTTTCAAAAATATTGTTTTTAACAGTATAAGTTTCTTTCAGATGGTCTGTAGACATAATTAAGATGCTGTGTTTAATACGTTCGTCAACAATGTTAATCAGACAACAGATACCCATAATCCTTGGTTTCAGTCATGCTGACATGGAGGACACGAGCTTTCAAAGGTGCATATTGTTCTCAAGCAATGCTAACAATGCTAACAATGCTAGCGATGTAAGGACCTGTTTTAGTGAAACTGAAGCTCCAAAGCGCTGAAGTGTTTTTTTTTCTGTGATTCATTACATTTTTATCAGTTCATGAACTCCCCACCCCACCCACAGAAACATTCTGTTGACACCCCTTTAACCCGCCGCTGTGGTTGTGCTCGGTGAGTAATGTTGGCAGCTCGGCGCTGAAGGTCGCGGCAGACTTACTTTCTCAGCTCTGTGCAGTCGTCCTGGGAGACTCTGTGTGCTGTGGCTGCAGGCACATTTTGGAGCTTGGCATACCTGAAACAAAAAACACCGGATCAGTGTCGTTCAACAAACAACATTTTAAAATATGTCATCATTAGCCTAACGTTAACATGTCATATACACCTTTGTGCTTTCTACTTTCACTCGTCTTGTAAGAACAGGCGTTTCATCTTAACGTTGCACAGACTCTATTATTCCCAGATGAAGAAATTACGTTTTCTTCTGATGTTTCACCTGTTTGTAATCGAAGTCTAGGATAAGTTATCTAACCCAGTCTTTCTGATCATGCAGTAAACTTCCCTCTGTTTTTGTGAAGCACTGGGAACACGATTCGCTGACAGTGATTCTTGCAGCAACAAGCTCCTCATCCTCGACTAATAAATATGAAAAAATGGCTGTTTTGTTTGGAATGGTAACTGCAAAAGTTAATTCTACGACTGTGGAAGCTGCACCCACATATGATTTGTGGTTGGGAGAAATGGCAAACACGCAGCACCTGGAGAGACCGAGCTTTTATAATGAAGATGGAGGAGGTGTGCTTGATAAGATCTGGGACTCTGCACTGAAATTCTTTCAGGGTAAAAATGAATGTGTAAATAAATGTTAAGCAACATGCTCTGTATTCTTTTGCCTTTTTTTAAATATTGTAATATGTAGTATATATACTTCTGTTCTCTCACAATGCAATTTATTAAAAAATAATAAACATATTTTAAAAAGTGGAATCGAAGTATTAGGTGTCATAAAAGGCAAAAAATCAATTTAAAGCTCCAAATTTTCTTCTTCTTCTGTGGTTTATTTGAAGTGTTGATCCATAAGAAGATATATTTGTGGTTATAAGAACCAAAAACCATCTCAGTGTAGTTTCACATCTCCTGTCTCAGGCTTCTCTCTGCAGCTCTAGTAACAACAGGTCGGTGAGCCAATCAGAAGAGAGGAGGCTCTGAGCCTCTCTTCTCATTGGCTGACTGTTTTCTGAGTGATCCAATAAAAATAAAGCAGATTTCAGGTAAAAACACTCAGAGAAACCAAATCCTGTAAAGGTTTGGATGGTGGGTCCAGGTGGGCGGGGCTTGGTGACTGCTTTGTTGTGACATCACAAAGTTACAGGAAGTCCTGACGGCTGGTTTTAAGGCTCAGTTTCTGAATACAGGCTGTGTGCATTTCTCTGTGGACTGAGGCTTTGATACTTTCACAGTATTAATATAGAACCTAGACCTGATCTATAATCACACTACACATGGACAGAGACCTTTACACTATATGGGACCTTTAATTACAAGTAGAGCTGAAACAATTAGTTGATTAACTAATTAGCTGCTTGAAAAATATTGTGGAAAAAAGCCAAATATTTGCAGATTTCAGCTTTTTAAAGGAGAAGATTTGCTGCTGTAAACTGAATATTTGGTGGAACAAAAACATTGCCCGGGTTGAGAGCCACCAGGTGAGTCGTCAGCCATCACTGTACCTGTTGAGCAGGAGATCCAGCACCTGCTTGGTGGTGGCGAAGGAGCGGTAGGTGCAGAGGAAGATGGTGACGTAGGTGGAGTCTTTGCCCCTGAACGCCGACACCATGTACTCCACCAGCCTCTCCAGCGTGCCGGCCTTGATGGTCCGCACCTTGCAGGTCTCGTAGAGGCTCAGGGCGGCGTCCGTCTCCACGCCCAGCCATCGCTGCCCTTTGCTGGCCGACTGGTGGAGCTGCACCTTCCTCAGCGTGATGGTGAAGATGGCGTCCTCCTCGGCCTCCTCGCCGATCTCCTGCGTCGAGCTCTACAAGACAGAGGAAGGGGGGGGCGGACAATGAGACGTTTTACTCCAGCTAACCACCTCACACTAAGTGCTGTCATGTCCTTAAACACTGAGAACAAAGTGGTGGATTTCTCCGGCTGGAACAACCTCTTTAAATATCTGTTGGGAGCAGATTAGAGGGAGTCGAGGACCGAGAAAAGATGCCACCGTTACCGTGTGGAACGTCAAGTTAAAAATATCTGACGTCTCATTTTGGGCCGAAACCCTTTAATTATGGCCATCTGTGTGACCCTGCTCTCTTCTTTTCGCTCCGTCTCTCTGAGTCACACTTTGTGAATCATGTGCGTTGCCGTGCACAAACAAACAATAGCTTGTTACTGAACAGAGCTTACTGGATAAACTGGTGCCACAATACAAGCTGCAGCCTGTATAAACCCACACTGGGGAATTAACACAAGCTGCTTGTTGCATGAATGAATGAGAGCTCTGTCGGTCGTTGCATGTCACCGTCACGGCATTTTGTTGTTGTTGTTGTTTTCTCCTGGACATTAAAAACAAAGATGCAACAAACCGCAGTTTCATGGTCTCATCCATCATCACGGCTGTCAATAACAACCACAGTCATGATGCAAATTCACACATTCATCATGCGCGTATCCTGCATTAGCTGCTGAGAGTTGCACAACTAAAACAAATCGATGGATTACAAAACAGCAGCTGATTGACAAAACTTCAGACATAAAAACCAGATCTCTCCTGATCATTCCCTTAAAAAAACAAAAACAGAGCTGTGTCTTCTATACGTATAAGCCCTCGGTATTACCAGAGTTTTCAAGTGTGAAATAGCTTTTTTAGGTAGAGCTGCGCAGTAATTCAGTATTATTGTTCAGTGCCTCTCAGGATAAAAACCTCTGTTTGCAGCACTCTGTCATTGGATTACACAAGAGAACAGGCAAAAAAATAAAGAGAAAATAATCCATGAAAGATGTCTCGTAAAGACGACACACATGAATCAGAAGAGAACTTCATGCAGAAATCCTCGTTTGTAAAAATGATGAGTGGATGTTCAGAGGAAGTCAGGAAGGAGCCTGAGGAAGGGGTTTTGTTACAGGATCTGAGGTGGAGTGCAGGAACATATGGCCACAATCTAAGCCTCATCTAAAATCAACTGGAAATCAATCAGAAGCTAAAAACACCGTCATATGATCCGTCTCCTTATGTTCTCGTTAAGAATCGAACTGCAGCGCTCTGGATGAGATGAAAGCTGCGACTCAGGGACGTAAAGAGAGACCTACAACGATCAGTCCTGGAAGTCAGAGAGTGATGAAGCTGATCCGCTCTGACAGAAGCACGACTGAACTCCTTTATTAAAACAATAATCTAAAGATAAGATCTGACCTGCAGCACATCTACAGTTCGTAAAATGTTCAGAGACAAGTCGTCGCTGCGTACCACTTACTTATATATAATAAAATAACCAATGTTTATATAAAGACAGAACAAAGAAGAGCTGCAACTAACAATCATTTTCATTACTGACTAATCTGCTGATTATTTCATTGATTTTTTAATCGTTTTTTTTTTTTATTCCCCACAGAACAAGCTGACATCTTCGTACTTCCTGTTCCGTCTGAACACCAGCCAAATATCAGTTAAGATATTCAGTTGATCATCTCACATTAGAGAAGCTGAGAGCAACAGATATGTCACATTTCTACTTAAAAAAACAATCACTCAGTTCTCACTTTCATCATTTTACATGAGATTCTCAACATTTGTCACTTGAAGATATAAAATAATATAAATAAAATCTTATCAACACTGTGTTTTCGGAAACACTGTGACATGAGGACACTGAAGGTACTGAGAAATGTTTATTATTGAAATGGAAACTCGATTCTCTCGAAACTCAAAGGGCAGTAGAGACTGAATGGAGACTAAAACAACATGAGCAGAGAGTAAACACCGGACTGGAAGAGACGGGGTCAAAGTCATCGATACTATCATATTGATCTTAAAGCCGTTGGTCTGCACCGTACTGTGGTTTGAGTGTTAATACAGCAGCAAAAAGCTTCAGTTTGTTTAATCTATATAAAAAAAAGCTATAGATCATAAAAGTGACTTCAGTTCTTGAAGATGAATTTGTCTTCTTTCATTTTTCAGACTGGAAAAAAAACTTTGTGTTGTATTAAAGATAATCACTCGAAAGAGCTTCTGGTCTTTGTAAATAATCTAAAACCTGTTAATACCAGTTAATACTCCAAAGCTTCCTACTATCACTTCAGACTTATTCCACTTTTATTCAAACATTTCCCTCTTTTCAGTTGTAAATAACTCACTCTGTGACACACGACAGCATGTGCATCCGATCGGCAGTTTGTGCCACTGCAGGGAAATAAACGGTGACAGTCTGAGCGCTGAGGCTGTTGAACACATCTAACCGAAATAGCGGCGCTACAGTGGCGTGAATCATTAAGCCGGCGGCCTCGATGGAGGAATGGCATGTAATCTGGCGTGCCACAGTCATCTGTCACGGCCTCTTGTTGTGTATCCTGGGAGCGTTAGTCATCGGGGTCGGCTTCCAAGGCTCAGTGTGACTCCCTGCTTCACAGGCTTTTTGTAAGGCTCTATTCGGTAACATCAAGTCCCTCTGTTGTGTCTTTGTTGCCGTGGAAACAAGCTGTAATGAGGCCGTGATCTTGGAAAAGCAGTGCAATGAGTGGTACAGTATCTTCAAGCAATACTGCTGTTCTCATATTTAAATTTCATGTTTTAGACGTGATGGAAAAGTTAAAGAACGACGCCACGAGGCTCTTGATTAATTATATTCTAAAAAAGCAGCGGAACTAAAACTACACAAACCCCAAAACACCTGAACTAGTAAGACAAACTTAGAGCTTTCAGGTATCTTCACACCACGCCTGGTTGGAGAAGTTTATGTCCATAACTGTTGCAATACAATTTGTACATTAAAAAAAAGACTGGAAATAAAATGTCACAAAAAAGGTGGAGGTGGAAAAGCTGATGCACAAACTCCATTATGTTTTCTACATGGTTTGACTGTCAGACTGATTACTTTTTTGTAATCAACCTTTTATTATTTTTACGTAATGACCGGCACTCTTTCAATTACCTCACCTCATTGTAAACTCCTCTTCTACGCTGGTTTAATGGCTCCTGACTGGAAAATCAGCCCCACCAACTGTTTATACTGACTCTCCTAATATTCACATCATGACGAGGGATGGAAACTCACATTCATTTGCTCATTTTCCGTAATTTCTGTTAAAATTTGCGTTAAATATGGATGAAAAACTGTCCTGTTTGAGGTGGTTTGGTCAGGTATCGTACTGTGGTTTATTCCAGACACATTTATGTCTGCCTTGCCTTCGTCAGGGTGGAATCAAGTTTGTTTCTGGTCTTCTTTATGTATAATCCATCAGCCAGCTGAGGAATTTAAATCAGAAGGAGTTAAAGGTACCCTGTGGTATTTTCTCATATACAAAGAAAACTAATGTTTACACTCTGTTTCTCATAAAACGACTATTTGAACTCTAATAAAAGTGATAAATGTAAGTTATTCCACATAAAACTCCTGTAAAGATGATTTTTCATTAAAAGTTTGCATTGTTTACGTCCATGTTTAGTGACTAGCAGTCGTTGTCTTCCTCCACAAATAATGGGCGGATTACTCCATAATGAAAATAATCAGTTGCAGAACTACTTTCGGCATTGACCATTCAAACTCGGCACACTCTCAACTACGTTCAAGAAAACCCTGATTCAACAAAAAGTACAAAAAAAAAACAAAACACTGTTCCTATTATGATCAGATCAATAAATGTCAGTAATCCCAGCAGAGATCCTCACAGAGCGTTACAGAGCGAGGGAGTGTGTGAGAGATAAATGGGGAGAGAGCAGACAAACCCCTGGCCTGTTGTAAATCAAGTGCAGCGTAATGGCCGAGGCACAGCTGCAGCCGAGGGCCTTGACGGCAGGAGAGGTGCTTATCAGCCAAACCACAGAGGCCACGCTGCTATCACTTCAAGCCCTGAAAACATGCAGCGCTCAAGGGCAGCGCCACGCTCCGTCCGCAGAGTCAATTCTCAAAATAATGCCCCTATTCATCCCTGCCGCAGCGAGGACGAGGGTTGCCATGATAACCAAACTCCTCTTAATGCTTGAACAAAACGCTCAGCGATCAATACTTTAAACAGAAAGGTTCAGCGTCACTTCAAAAGAGCTGAAACAGGTGGAAAGAAACGACTGAACAAATGAAAGATGAGATTAGCAGATGGTTTCTGACGATAAAACATCAAAAATAGAAATGAAAAGTAAAGACCAAACGTTTGCTTGATGACCATCACCAGAAAATCAGGTAACAAAACCTCTCTGGACACTGAGATGATAAGAGAGTAAGCTGTGGTCAGACTTCTACAGCACCTGGGAGCCATCTCAGTCGAAATAAACTTTCTGGGAAACAAATATCAATCGATAAGAAATCCTGTGGAAATAGGAGGGAAATCTCTGAAATCTGGACACGAAGCCTGCCCCACTTTTCTTTTTTCTTTTTTAATTTGGGTTTCACTCACATTCCTTCATCCTGATTCAGGACTTAGTCAACCAGATGGGCTTCGTTGGAAATCAGCACATTATGTCCCAAGGTGCCGGTTAAGATTTCTACTTAAGTGTGACACTTAAGGTTTAGTTTCTCCTCCGCTGGGGGAGTTACTTAAGGGTGTTGCACAGAATCTCTTAAAAGGAAAAAAGAAAGATTTACAGCAGTGAAGGGGATTTTACAGCAGTAAAATTCTATTGTTTCCATGGAGACTGTTGATTGGTTGCCATACTGACTTTACGTGATTCCTGAAGTTTAATACTAAGATAAGGAGAAAATCTCAAATACTTAAGTGAACGTTTTAAGCAAACCTTAAGGAGAAAACTTGTTGTTTTGTGAAAACGGACCCAGTCACCTGTGACAGAACGCTAAGCAGCTAATATTGACATATCGCAATATTGGA